GACACTTCTCCATCTCCTGAGTCCCAGCTACTCCTCTTCCAAATATCCTCCTTACTGCGCACGACAGCGTTGGCTGCATATCGACTAATGCAGGCTCGACCTCCCGCCTTGAACGAGCCCTGTCAGATCAACCTTTGGCACGCCCACTTTGCTGCCTTTTTAGCTGCGCAAAGTACGTATTACGGAGCAAGAAATCACCTTCGCCTTCTGCCGCTCATCCTGGCATGGGACGATGTTGCTCTGCTTGCATATTGGGATTGTTGATCAGTGCCCGCTTTCGATCCACAACCGACGCCTCCATTGGCCTCAACCACTGGCATGGCCCTCCCTGCCCCGACTGTCCTGGGACGGAAGCCAGTCTCGATCGTCGACTCCTATGAAGTTTCCCTATACTGCCACGATTGTGTACACAGACAGTACTGCTCTCCCGCTTTTGGTCGAGATGCGCCAACGCCAGACGCCCCCAAGCGAGTGGTTTGTTGGTGTATTATTCACTGCAAGCAATGTGTATTCTCGATCTTGCACAGCGGCCGTCTTCCCTGGCATCTCCTCTGGTTTATTCGATATAGCCGTCATATTACGTACGGAAAGGCAATACCTGACCAAGTCTCCTCTTCTGGCATAGACTCAAGGAGGTTAGACATTTCAACGAGCTTCTCGGGACCACAGGGGGGGAACGGCCCAGGCACTGGGATTACATGAACCAACAGGGCGGAGAAACTTTCAATCAGGTACTCTTTTGCCAGGGCCGGTCCCCTCCCCTCCCCTGGCATCTTGCTAGCTTTGTAGTGCTTCAGCTGCGACGTTTTCCTCTTTTCAACCGTCAGACGGCTCAGTACTGAATCGAGTCGCTCCCTCAGCTGCATCTTGCTGTCAACGCCCGCCCCCTTCGATCCCGCCGACTCCCGTTCTCCAAAGCCAGCTTCTCCACTCAAGTGCGACATGTCACTGAGCACAGGCACCGGCAGCTACACTACAGCAACAGACGACGGCGGCAGCGGCACTGACCTGAACTCATTTCTCGTCCCATCCTCAGGACCGCCGCCTTTTAAGCATGGGCGCTAGCGGCATCAGGTTCCCAAAGCCAAGAAAGCTAGATTATGCTGCCGCTGCTGCTCTCACATTTCTTTCTGCCCTTGCGCCCTCCGCCACACCACCCCGGCCGCACCTCCCGACCCCATGTCTGTGCTCCCGCTCCAACGACACCCCCTTCACCATTTCAATGACACCAAAACCTAGGACCCAGGACCTGGAAGTGGGTGTGGAGTGTGGGTGTGGCTAGGGTTGATGAGGGGTGCTGGTCTCTCCGTCTTGCTCCTCTTCCTGATGCCTCCACCAAGACCATGGCTCGACGCCCCGACAGCCTGGGAACACGCAAAGCATCCATGAGCGCCTGGCCAGTCAGTCCCCTTCTTCTGGCATTCCACCGTGCCTCTGGCCGTTCGTCCCGCTGCAAATTGGGCTGTTCCACGGGTCCTTGACTCCTTTTTTGCGAATTCTGCTAGCAACGATGGCTCGGACTCGGCGGGGAATATCTTGCTGAGGACACCGCTCAAATGGTTCGAAATTCGAACACGATCATTCCGAGTAGTACACCCATTGTGACGGATAGCTGTCAACAGATCCAGGGGAGCTTCCCATCATCAATCTCCGCCGTCTTAGACAGGACCAGGCCCACATTGTCTAAGAGTGACCTTTTAACACGAGCTTATAGGCCTAGAGTGTGACTGGACGCCAGGGCTTGGACAAGTTCCGCGCTAGAGTGGCACAGAAGAACGCGCCCGCGGTTTCCTTAAACTGCCAGACGAACGCTGGCGCCGCTCAACGCATTTGCGCTACACGGCAAATTTGCGCGGACAGGCTTTTAAGGAACGCGGTTTCAAAGGATGGGCCTGGCGGCGATGTATGTGCAACTTGGGTCGTACTAAGCAACTAGTGAGGACGCCGCCGTTCACTCATCCATGTCGATTCCAGGGCGAGTATGCCCAGCTGTCACGGCTCTTCTCTCGCGGGATCCGAGATCAGAACATCAGATCAACAACAGGAACCTCCACATCATTTTCAGCTAGCCTGGTGTTGATCAAACTTCAACAACCAGATGTTGACAGGGCTTCAACTGTCTGCTTTTCCGCCGAACCCCAGCAAGCTCATTCCCAGCTTTCCCCCCACCACCGACCTGGGCGTTTGCTTTGGCCCGTTACATCACCTTAGACACAAGACCCTTGTCTCATCTTTCTGCCAGGGCTTATCTGTGCCTCTTCTTCCGTCGGGTTCTGACGTCCAGCTCAGTTCCTGATCCAGAGTCCTTTGTACTTTGTACGCAAGTGAGGAGGAAACCCATCTCTTCAGGCTGAAGGGTGAGTCGAACCTGTCTACCGGTACCGCTGGGTCGGACGATCTTTACTCTTCTCCCTATGCTAAGACTTTGGGCAGACGGCCAGACCAATTCGAGCACAGCCCGGACATTCACAGCCGTTTGGGCTTAGGACGACCAGCCGTTGCCACGTTCATCAGTACACACGGGTGGTGACGGGACTCCATATCACGCCTTGGATCGGCCTCTTGCCAGCGTCTGCCACGCCTCAGCCGCCCCAGCACTCACGCGCCATCCCGGAACCTTAATCAATCTAGGGCCGTCTTTCCAAACCGCTTCTCCCGAGGCTAGGGAACCACCAGCAAGACACAGAGCTCGCAAGGGTGGCTGCGCCAAAAACCCCTTCACCCCGCGCCAGCTTCTTTCATCACTTTTCAGGACAGCCGTTCTCTATCCCAGTCCATTCCTGAGGATACTATTATGGTTGTGAACTGTCCAACCGTCTTGACATTTCACATTTTCGGCAAGTCGCATACTCCAGGCCATCTCAGAGCTGCCTATCTGGTCGACTCTTGCTCCCTACTTGGCGCCACCCACCCGTACACCATCACGCACCAGCGGGCTTTTTGACTTTGGAATCTACATTCCACGCCTCTTCTGGTTGTAACGCAGCTACAATACTCACATGTTTGGGCTGTTTCGTCTCACATTTGGCCTTACCGCTGGCTTCGAGTCTTCAGATCTGACGTATTCATCTGCTTGAATCTCTTCGGCAACCCCTTCACACGATCTAGTCCCCTTGCCGGGCCCAAGTGAGTGGAACACGGCACATCGATACTTACCAAGCCGTTGCTGTGTATCTCATCACACAATACGGCGTATTCTTCACACTCGTCGATATTCAGGACCAATCCTCATGCCAGCTGGTGCTTCACCAGGCCCTTGAATTCCAACTAGGCTTAGGTCAACCACAACGGCCCTCCACATTCTCAACATCTTCCAAGTGCTTCTGAGCTCTGCCGGGATCGATTCGGACACGGAGGCCAGACAACACCACCTCACCATCTCCGTCTAGGCCTTGACTTCCCTTCCTAGCGTAGCAGCTTCCAGGAGCCCCCGCCATAACGTCAATCCCGCCAGCAGATCAACTGAGCGCGAGCTGCGATACCCGCTCCCCAGTCGACCCAGTTACATTGTGGCCGTCCCAGTGCCCCACTACTGTCATCACTACCCGTAGTAAAAGCTATCGAACGAACTGGTGTGGCTCTGGGTGACCGAGACCCTCTTCTGAGTGGCACAGGCTCGCCCTTTTACTACTTCCCCAAAAACAAATAGCGAATAATCTCCCTCCCAAGTCCGCTCACAACTACAACCACAGACCCCTCTCGACATATGCCGGGTCCGCCATTGCTATTTCCCTAGCCAATTTTTATGGAATAGGTTGCCACAGATCCAAACTATAGCTTTGAAGGAACAGTATCCATGCCCCGGATCAGATTCCACCAGCTCGCCATCTCAAGCTCCCGATTTGATCTACCTAGCCGGGCCACCGCATCCCTCTATCCGGACGGCTCCTCCTTCCACAACTCTCCGTCTTTTTACCTCAAGGAATTCGTTCCCTAACAACAACTTGGCTCACTCCATCTTTTGGCTTGCTCAGACGTATTCCGCCTAGTCTGGCCACCCCACTATAGCGCTCGCATTGCCGTCACGATTGGCGACCCACGAACTCCAAGGGATACGGATTTGCGGTCCTTCTGAGTACGGGCAGAGCATGCCAGCTCCCCCAAGGTCATCGTAGCACACGATCCACAAATTCTCACCTTCTCAGTCCCTTGCCTTCCACCTAAAAACCACGGCGTCGGCCCCTTCTAGCCGCAAATATGGGGGACTATTATCACCATTTTCTCACCTCCATGACGGGGGTGGCAGCTAGCCAAAGTACAAGCCCGCAGGAAATACATCCTCCCCAATTCCCAGGCGCCCAGATGTCTATGATGGGCGGTGCCATGCCTGGGCCATATCCCAACCTGGGATACTTCACTGGCTTCCCTGACCCCGTTGGGCTTACTGCGCCTAAATCCTCGAGGAATCGAAGAAAGTCGGCTTCAGGCTTAGATCACGTCAAGCATCGACGAACACGGTCCGGTTGCTATATGTGTAGGAGTAGAAGAGTGAAGGTATGTCCCCGCGCTCTCTGCAAGATCACAGTCTTCTGACTCTATGTAGTGCGATGAAAGCCGGCCAGTCTGCGATAGTATGTTAAGTCGAAAAGGTACCAGCGTGTCGCATCGTTAACGTGATCACAGGGTGTCGAAAAGGTAGCCGCGAATGTATCTATCCGGAACCACCAGCAACCAAAGGATCTCCAGCTCAAGGCTCCTCGTCAAAAGATGGAGCTCCTACTCAACAGCAAGCCAGCCCGGATTCTTCCAACGATGCTGAAGACGGGGAGGACGACACAGAGCCCGTCGGTCTAGACACCATTCTTGACGAGGACGAAGGAGAGGAAGAGTCTCTTCAGAGACAATTTTCCGGGCCGAGTAGAAGCAGCACAGCTTCTTCCTTCAACTTGCAACGTACGGGAGGTACACGGCACGGCTCCGAGACGCCATCACACGAGGGGACCAAGAGCGCCTCGCCTTCAACGTCTACCGCGAGTAGCCAAACAACAACAGCATATACGATGCCGGATCTTGCGATATTATCCTTAGGTGGTCACGCCGACTGGTCACATTTGCCCCCCGACCTCCGGCAGCATCTGGAATACTTCTGCGAAAACGTTACTCACTATCATTACTGCATGCTCACTGACGCACACGAGTTCTTTCGCGTCATTCTGCCGAATTTTGCGTTACAGAACGAGGCTCTGTTGTACGCGGTCGTGGGCTTCGCAGCCTACCAGCGGACGATACAGAATCCCAATGGCAAGATGGAGGAGTTTTTGAAATACTACAACAAGAGTGTTATCCTCCTGCTCAACTCCCTGAAAAGGAAAGAGAAGCACAACGTTGCTATGCTATTGACCGTCCTCCAGCTTGCCACAATCGAGGTACGGCAATCCCTGAATACAGATGGAAAACCAAGATGTGGCTAATCCGAGATAAAGGAGTATTTGGGCGACTGGATTAACCTCATGGGGCATCAAAAGGCTGCGTTCGAGATGCTGACACACTTGTTTACACCGGAGACGGCTACGCAGACCCCGCTCGGTAGAATGATCGTGTCTTGGTATGGACGCTTCGACATCTTCATCGCTATGATGGGCGGTTTTCCCACGATGCTAGCCCCTGAGTGGTTCATAACTTTTGTAGAATACTGCGATCAGCAAGCCATTTCGGACGAAGCAGACAGTCTGCACTGGAAATTGGAAGCGGAATCAGGTCGCCTGCGGGTCATTTCAAGAGAAATGTCTACCCTCTTCGCCCGAGGTAGCAGAGGCCAGATAACACCGGAAGATTTCGCGACAGAGCACGAACGACTGCAAAACTCGCTACAGGGCTGGAAAGACGGATGGGATCACGCTCTTACTGACCCTGCTTACTACGTCACGGATTTTAGCCACGCGGGCTCCCTTGGCGAGGACAACATTGTCGACCCGTTTATCACAGGAGTCTTGTACGATTTCCCGATATTCTCGACGACGCTACTCACCAGCGAGTTCAACTCTACCATGATGATGCACAAGTGTCAATCATCGACTACGCAGCGAGAACACTTGTACGGCGAGCTTAGAGGTCACGCCTACGCCATCTGCCAAATCTTTGAGGCTGTCGAGAGGTGGCCGTCGAGCCCGAGGGGCAGCTTGATTCTGATCCAGGCTTGCATTGCCCTCTCGGCGTTATTCCTACCGCAGGACGCCAAACATCACAACTGGATTCGGAAGAAGTTTGCTTTGCTAGAGACTATGGGGTACGTGGACATACTAGCTACACCTTTCTGCTTTTCGCCCCGCCCACGAACGTGGACACTGACTTTGATGGAAATCTACACAGATACATACACCCGATATCACTCCGCGCCAAGATGGCTGAAATGTTCCACGAGCCCAGCTGTGTGCGCTGGTGGCTGCCCAACGACGAGGGCTACAGCCGTATCCTGCAAGACGTACGGACCTTTGCCGATGAACGCAACGCCAATGCCGCAACCGCCCAGGCGGAGAACATTCGAGAAGTCAGACACATTTTTGCAAAGATGCAAATGGCGGAGGAGAACGCAACCCAGGCTGCATAGATCACGGACCAGACAAACTTTGGGGGAAAGGGAGTGGGAGAAATCGAGGGAAGGGAATCGAGAATTGAGGAAAGGAAAAGTTCGAGTGATAAAAATAAACAAGGAGATGGGAAGGCTCGATCGACTCGGCAAACTCCGTAGCTGAAAAGCTGGACGGCATACGATTTTACATCATGGGAGCCTGAGTGGGAGGTTGGAAGCTCGTTGAGAGCGGACATTGAGGGGGCGATACGGTGGAAACGAAGGGGGAAAAGCTTCGAGCATGGACGACGGATCAAAATAAAGCGGCGGCATATTTTTTCATTCTTTCCCCTTTTATCTAGAGGGTCTACATCCATAAACCCATAGAGGCCACGCCGTACTCAGGGCAAGGCCATACGCATTTTGGCGTTGGGTCTTTTTTTTCTTCCTGTTTCTGTTTTCACCCTTTTTCCCCATCCGATTATTCTCTGCACTGTTGTAGGAGGATTAATGTATTATAAATTTTTGTTATTTTTCTTGGACATTTCCCCCCCCCCCCTCTCTCGTTTTCTCCATATTCTCATTATACATATTTTTTGCTTCCAATTTTAGACATAGATTCTGTGTGAAACCTGGTTTCCCCTTCCTATTTATACACACACAATCTCGTGATGCGTTTTCAAGAAACATCACGAAACTTTCAAATGAAGAAGAATACTATACATACGTGGACCTCGTCTCATTACAATAATAGAAAGAAGAAAAAGAAGAAGAATGGTCTACCAGTATCCCGCCCCAACTCAGAACCACCCCAGCCAACCACCACTGGTTTGACGGATCGGCAAACAAGTCTGTCACTTGAACATTCATCAATACGCAAAGTCATTAAATAACCCCCCCACTCTCCCTCTGTCATGTCTCCTTCTTATCTTCCTCACCCTCCTCCGCCTTCTCTTCCTTTGCCTCGTGCTTGGGCTCCGTATCCTCCGCCGTATCGGCTTCTTCAGGCTTGCTGTCCGCGTCTGCGGCATCTGTTATCGTTGATGTAGTCTCGTCTGCTTTGGCGGTCGACTCCTGAGCAAAGTCGTGAGTGCTAACGTCTGGAATCTCGCCAGACTCATCATCATCTTTAGCTGCTGCAGCGGGAGTCTCATCCGCCGTCTTGCCATCTGCGTCTTTAGCCTCATCGGCACCTTCTTTTGCTGCCTCGCTTCCTGATGCGGGAACGTGCTCCTCCTCATCCTCCCCGGAGGCTAAATCTGGCCGCGGTTGGTTTGGGTAGGCCATGCCGTGCTCACTTTCTTCGTAGACTAAAGTTGTTTCCGCATCGGATTCCGTGTCAGGAAAGTCGGCTTCAACCACTTGAGGCTCTGCTACAGCGGCCTCCTCCTTTTCTTCTGTGGGAGACGCGTCGCCGATAATCTCCTTTTCAACAATCACCGGCACGTCGGCCACTTCGGGCTCCTCCTCGAGCGTTTCAGGCGCGGAGATTCGCATCTCCCGCAACTTATTTGTTACAACATTGTCTTCCTCGTCGGCCTCCACAACTGTAGTCACAGCACTACCAACAGAGGGACTCGCCCTGACGTGACGTCTCGTGGCAGTACGGCCAACAGGCTGGAAGTTGTCGTCTTCGCCCTGTCCGAGGCTCTCACGGTGACTAGGCTTCACAATGGACATTGGAAGCTGCTTCTTATCGCCGCCGTTGGCATCAGGCACCGCCGTCGCCGTCTCCAGGCCCTCAGCCTCAGGAGGGAGCTTGTAGTTCTCGGCGGGGAGGAGGTCGTACATGTCGCAGACGGTCTTGAAGAAGACGTACAGTCCAGTCTGGCCCTCAATGGTCCAGAAGACGGCGCGGTGCTGGAACCAGGCGTGCGCAAAGATGCGGTGTAGGCGGCGGAAGACGTTGACGAGGTTCTTGACAGCGACGCCTTTGTTGTGAACGTCGGAGAGGACGACGAAGCGCGAGGGGAAGATCTTGGGGTCCGTGACGATGTTGGCGGCCCAGTCGAGCGTGTGACAGCAGTAGTCGATGGCGCAGCAGCTCTTGGGCTGCTCGTGGACGGCGCAGAGGAACTGCCACTCTGAAGCGCGCATCTCGGGACACGTCGCCGCGCTGCAGGGTGGGGAGTCGAAGAGAAAGCCGACAATGAGGGTATTGCATTGCGAGATGAGGAAGCGACACAGTTCGTACAACCAGAGAGTGCGGTCGATGCCCGGCGGGGGTGTCGCGAGCTGGATTGCGGTCGTGCGGGTAATCGGGACGCTGTTGCTCTTGGTATGGTGGTAGTGGAGGGCGGCGAGATGCTCCTGGAGCTGGAAAGCCGAGTCGAGCTATGCAGAAAGATTGTGTGTAAGCGGCAGAATCGCAGGGTTGAATTTGGCTGTTCACGGCTGCGTTGCTACGAACCTCATTAAGGGGGATAAGCGGCGGTCCAGCAGCCATGTCTGCGGCCTTTGTTCCTGGGTGTATGCGACGCCTCGAGTTGGCTTCGATGAGAGACTGCTCCATCGGCGAGGCTTCGCGATTCGATTGCGCACCCATCGAAGGGGACTTGGGTCCGATTTGGATCTCAGCGGGCGGCGGCGGACTGGGCAGCCGGGGCGAGCTCGGCGCCATTGCCATTGTGAAAGGAGGCGATCGAGTGGTCGTGGTGTGGGATGGTATGGTATCGGGGGGTGGTCTCCGGGATGAAGACGGTGCAGACGAGAACGAGCGACTGGAGAGTATTTTGCAACCGCGATTCGAAAGCTGTAGTGTTCCCCCTTTGCGCCTCCACGATTCGCGGTCACAGACGATCGTAGATGTGTTGGTATATCGTGGACGGGCTGTGTTGTTCAAGCTTGACGAAAAGTCGTGGTCGGGCGGCTAATCCAGAGCTCCAGGTCACCCACATCGAATGAAAGCGCTTTGGGGGCCAGAGCTCCTGATTCTGCCGTGTCGCTGCTGTCGCAACCCCGGCACACCCCAGCTCGGCTTAGTCAGAAACCGATTCCGGCCATCGTCGTGTGTCCTTCTTTCTAAGGTAGTGTATTTTTGTTTTTTGGTGAGTGCCGGCGTGTGGGACCAGACGACGTCAAATAGGTACGTACCCCGTGCCTTGAATACTACTTCCTTCTCGCCTGGGGAACTTTCCTCGCTTGACAAGTCAGTTGAAGGGCATATCCCTTACTACCTACGAACTCTCTCGACTCTACCTCTTTTTTTCCCGAGATCTACAAAGCTTTCAGTCACTTGCAAGGCACTCGCTGCCTTTTTCCATTCGCTTTTTGAAGCAGTAAAGAATTGGTCTGAGCTCTCTCGCAGGGTTCCCCTCCATCCTAGCATGGATTTCGACGATGATGCCCCGCCTGATCTGGTAGAGGCCGGAGCCGTTGCTGAGGATGACTTACCACCATCGGGGAGCCAGGTCAAGGTCCCGATCACAATCGTTACGGGCTATCTTGGTGCTGGAAAGACGACGCTTCTCAACTACATCTTGACGGCGCAACATGGGAAGAAGATTGCAGTGATTATGAACGGTAAGCCAATCGCATGATTAAATGTGCAGCTAAGCGTCATACTAATGTTGTTCACAGAGTTTGGCGACTGTCAGTCTCCTCGGACGTGACCATGTAGTTGACTCACTGACTCTTTTCAGCCCTCGATATCGAAAAGTCGCTCACTGTCAACAAAGGTGATGAGCAAGTTGAGGAGTGGCTTGAAGTCGGCAACGGCTGCATATGTTGCTCTGTAAAGTAGGGACCCATATCAACTGATCGCATTCGTACTAACACGCCCAGGGACACTGGTGTCAACGCCATCGAGTCGCTCATGGAGAAGAAGGGAGCGTTCGATTACATCTTGCTAGAGACCACAGGCCTTGCGGACCCTGGCAACCTTGCGCCACTGTTCTGGGTCGATGATGGCTTAGGAAGCACAATCTACTTGGACGGTATCGTGACTCTTGTAGATGCGAAAAACATTATTCGCAGCCTTGACGACCCCGCCGGCAAGATTGAGATCGACGAGGATCACAAAGAGGATGACGGCCACAGCCACGGTCCCCTCATGACGACAGCTCACGTCCAGATCTCACATGCTGATGTCATCGTCATCAACAAGTCGGATCTAGTTTCCGAAGAAGAGTTGGGGCAGGTCAGGTCGAGGATAGAGTCTATCAATGGACTCGCCAAGATACACGTCACCAAACAGAGCGAGGTGCCAAAATTGGAAGGGTTCTTGCTGGATTTGCATGCCTATGACCAGGTTGCGGGGCTCGATACCAGCCAAAAGGGCCACAGCCATCTAGATTCGGTGAGTGATTCCACAAAAGTCGTAGCATGTCTCTTTTGCTGATAAAGTGCAGACCATTTCGACCGTCTCGATACCAGTGCCAAAGTTGGCACCATCACAATTGGAGAAGATCGATTGGTGGTTGAGAAAGATCCTCTGGGACCGTAAGCTTCCTGGGGACGAGAAGACGACGCTCGAGGTCCATCGGTCAAAGGGTCGGCTCGTCTTTGATAACGGCGATATCAAACTCATCCAAGGCGTGAGAGAGATATTCGAGATTCTTGACTCGCCTGACCAATCGCGCGAGGCCACGCAAGCTCAGGAAGGTAAGATCATTCTCATTGGAAGGCACCTCAAGGACGTCGACTTCGAGAAAAGCTTGGTGGATACAATCAACTCGAGCATATGAATAGAACTTCTGAGACACAATGCGTTGTCATGGGCGCGTGATCATTGGAACATCGACTGCGAGGCGTGCAGGAAATATATTGAACAGAGACAGCAGCGCGTGTGACTTTGTTGCAAGAGATTGGGTGCCTCGGCTGGTGGAAAGCATCAAACCAGTGCATGCTGGAAGCTGCCATCTCATGTGTTGGATGGGACATGATGTCAAAAAAAGGCCCCAGGTGTATGTACGGCAGTAGCGCGTGTTCTCACTGATGCAGGGGTTTTTTGGAGGGGCTCTCGGCGCACAGGCCATCGGATCCATCTTTGACCGGTCCTCCGCGCGTTAGTGTTGGCTGGGCTTCGACGTCTGTACACTGTACACCAGGAATTCGCATAGAGCTTCCTTCGTGCGCAAGCCAGAATAATCTTTCGAGCCATCTCGACCACGAACGCATCCTAATTGACCCCCGAACTTCCCGCGACGACGAACCATTCAACGCGACTCCCTATAGCGACCGTATACTCCTCGAGCCTTCATCATGAATCGACCAGGTAGGCCTGACCCTCTAGTCGTCCCCTTTCAGCCTCGGGGTACCCCGCCGTTTGCATGTCCATCAAGGCCACTTGGATCTCGTCGCACCTCTCAATTGTGGTCGCCGCGCCTCTATAACGTCGAGAAAGCTTGAGGAGCATCGAAATAATGCATGCGAAACGTCACGCCACCGATGATGCTCTCAGTAGATCATTGCCACTGTTAGCGCCGACGTGTAGCCCTCATCCTCGAGACCCAGCGCTGATCTACCTCGACGTAAACACGGCCTTTGGATGGACAATAAGGGACCCCTCATACACAAGCTATTCTTGAAGATGATGGTTTCGGGCCTCGCTATCCTCAGGCGACACTATGCAAGACCTCCAAGCTGACAATGGGCGCAACCAGTAGGAGTAGCTCCTCAATCACTGCGTGGCATACCGGCAGGTTTTGGTGGCCAGCAGCAGCAGCAGCAACAGCAACAACAACAAGCTGGGAGGGCAGTATCAAACAGGTTACCAAATGGCAAAATAGGTAGGGATACTCAGCTCTGTCTCAATGTGTGTGTGGTGTGACTAGGTACAAGGGAGGTGCCAGCAGGAAGACCTGACGTTAACGTGGAATTTTTTGGAATATACAGGCAGTAATGGATCTGGCTGGGCATTTGGAGGAGGAGTGCCCATGGGAGGCGCTGGTCTGCCAAATCAAGCTCGTCAACTTGGAGGAAATGTGAGCTTTGCACAGAGCTTAAGCGGGTCGCAACCGGCAACGCCGCTGGACCTTTCGTACGTTCTTTCCTCTTTCCTCCTTCACCGGCTACCCTGCACATCCACCTACCGCCCTCCCCACGATCACCTCCCAAAGTAGCACCACCAGCCGCATTTCGAGCTTCACGGCTAGCCGTACTTGGGTCTCTCTCCCTTTCTCTGCTTCTTCTAGCTCTTGTCTTTTCTCTTCCTTTCACCATGGGCAAAAGGCAACGCACTTTCCGAAAGAAAGCAGCAAGACAAGAGAAGATGGATAAAGCACCGTCTTCTCCGCCTCGCGAGAACCCCAAAAAGGGATACGCGGATGTCCTCAAGACGTATTTTGATTTCCCCCCTTCCTCTCCTCCCTCATCACTGCCTCTCGCGCGATCGCGGGCGACTATTTCGCCCATGATTCCTGGCAACGATAGTGGTACTGACTTCTGAAGTAGCGAATTTCCATCCCTCTCCAACAACGCACAGATGAACACCACCGGTCAGTCAAACATGTGGTCATCAACAGCGTCGCGGAACCTAGGTGCCGGTTCAGTGCCGCGCAACCAGCAGTCGACGCCACTGTCGGCTCAGAGCGGCCAGGACGAGCTCTTCACGCCAACTTCGGCTCGTCAAGGCGCCTTCCGCTTCGGTGGCCAGAGCAGCGCAGGTCCGGCGCCTCAAGTCCAGTCCAATCCCGTGGACGATTTCCCGCCCTTGAACAGAAACTCGAACGGCGAAATCGGTGGTGAGCGAAGTGCTAGTCTGATGCCCTCTTTGGGTTTCGGCGGCAGCCAGGCGAGCGGCTCAGCCGCCGCGATACCTCCTGCCCGGAGCGCAGGTGCCGGTAATGGTCTTCTCAATGCGCTCTCCGCGAACAGCAGAACCTCAGATGGTCGTTCATCTTCCATCGCTAGCGTGCAAGGTATATCGAATCTATCGAAGCGGACGATGACGCACTCACTAACGCGATACAGATCAAGCAAGAATACAAGAGGCATCTGCCGAAAGGGGTAACTCCTTCTCTGAAGAGACCGGTGGAGACAGCGCGTCTCAGTCGGCAGAGACCAGAAACCCCCCTGGAGCCATTGGCAACGACGCAGTCACTGGCAACGGCAAGGCCAAAGAGGAGAAGGAAGGCCAATCACCGGACGTGCAGGACCCTCTGGCAGGAATGGCGCCCATTGACAAATTCGGCATGAAGGGTTTGCGTGTTCTCATGAACAACTACCCCAGCTATGGTGCTCTGATGCAGGGAATGGACCCCAACGAGTTCGGACTCAACGTCAACTCACCAGAGTAAGCAGTCTGACTATTTATAAAGAAACGCTTACTGACTATGACAGTCTCATCTCCACCCAGATCTACTCCCTCTTCGACGACACGCCTCCGCGTCCCGCGATTCCCAGCGTTCGGCTTCCTGAGTGTTATAAGGTGACCAATGTGCAACCGATTGAGACCAAGATCCCGTCGTTCAACGAGGAGACCCTGTTCTGGATCTTCTACAGTTGTACACAGGACATCAAGCAACAATTGGCGGCGGTCGAGTTGTATGTACTATTCATTACACCCAAAGTGGCCCCTGCTAACAACCTTGTAGGCACAGCCGAAACTGGCGTTGGCACAAGAAGCTGCATTTCTGGCTGACCAAGGACGAGCTCATGATGCCTGCTAGCCTTGGTCCCCACCATGAACGCGGCTACTACATCGTCTGGGACACCACCAACTGGCGCAAAGAGCGGGTACGTCTTGGATTTCTCTCTTTCAAATGTTGAGCGCAAATAACTAATATTGAATACAGAGAGAACTCACTCTCCACTACGGTGACCTGGAGACGAATCTGGCACAACCGGTTGCATAGTTGAATTGGGGTTTATGGTTCATTGGCTTTCTCGTTTTATTGACGAGGCTGGAAACGACTTGGTACCTGGGCACTGGGCATGAGACCCGACAGGCGTTAAGTCATGTTGATACGGCATGGTTTTACAGGCTTCCGGTATGAAGCTGGCCAGGCAAACGGCAGCTGCTGCATATCTGCCGCTGCTTTGTGTGTATGAATCACTGATCAATGGGAGTTACCCACGGCCGTCAAACGAAGGGAAATAAAATGACGACGCCGATACTGCGAACGAAAACTATCTTCTATTTCCGTGCTTCCAACCATACGTGATGTTGCCTTTTGGACGTGGGAAGCGCCTGTGGTATAGCAAGAGATATCTCCTCTTCTTCTTCTGCACCATTATTTGAAGACATCCGTATGGAGAAAGGTACTCAGAAGATACCCGGCGAGCTTGAATTTGGTAGTTGTTAGGGCGGTCCGTGCTTGACTTCCTCACACGGAAAAGCGCGGGTAACTCCGACTGCGCGCCACTGTCCACATAAGCTCCAAACCCCTGCTCCCTGAGGAGGGCTGATGAACTCATCAACTCCATAAAAGCTGCCAGCAGGACTCCACGCATCTAATCCGACCTCATCCCTATCCCATGCGCAGCAGCCATACGCTCCTCCGACTCCCTTCATTATTTATGTTGCAATCTCCATGAGGCCTGAACCGCTCCGAGCTCCCAATCGCCACTTTCGATAGCGACAGCACGCAAACACTCCGGCCTCACGCCAAATCGACACTTTCTACCGGCCAGACCGGCACGACACAGACACAGAATCCGCAGCTATGGCGAACGAGCAGATCTCGCTGCCGTACCTGGTGATGATACTGCTGGTGACGGCATTCGTGATACGGTTCCTCTTCTTCTCGCCGGCCCCGCCACCGGCGCCGCGACAGAGCGCCGCAGCGGTACTACGCACGCGCGAGGCGGCGGTAGAAAGGATACAGCAGATGTTCCCGCAAGTGGACAGACGGACGATTCTGTGGGATCTACAGAGAAATGGCGGGAATATCCAGGCGACGTCTGAGAGGATTCTTGCAGGACGAATGGAAGCCGTGAGTTTGAACCCTTGCCTTTCCCAACTTCACTTCAGGCGGAAGCTCAGCGTGCCGAGTACGCGCGCGCCAGCGACAACACTATAGCTGGGAGCTGTTATACCCCACGACACCTGGATTACTTTCTCCTGATGTAGTGCATTTCTTGTTTGCTGACCTTGGTACGTGACGTCAAACAGCCCCCAATCACCTTCCAGCCCCCTCCCCCGCCGGGAGCGAACAACGCAGCGTCCAGCTCCTCGACACCGGCCAAGGCGCCCGAGAAGCCCACGCAGCCGGACCTGATTACGAGATACAAGCTCCAAGACAAGATTTCGGCGCAGCAGCAGCAGCGGCAAGCGGAAGCGGACGCCGCCGCCGCCGTCGCGGAGAAGGAGAAGGAGAAGGCGGCCAAGGGGTGGAGCTCGAACAGGGACGAGAGGCAGTCGCTGTTGCAAAAGCGGAGGGACGAGATGATTCTTGCGGCGCGGCGGAAGATGGAGGCTAAGATTGCTGCGGAGAAGGCGGCATAGCCATTTTGGAAGGAAGATGAATGCGATGGCCCTTTCACAGCGTACGGTTTCTTGGCTTGTTGAAGGCATGAGAGAGATTGGCGGGGTATGCGGATTTGGGCATTCTGTACACTCACACACACATACATACTCGCACAGAACCAGCCGACAGTGAAGAGCTCTTCGGCTTCAGTTTAGTTTGGAGGAGAATGGATGAGGATATAATGGCACATATTTCTTATGCCTCCAACATTATGGGGAGCCTACGTACCTACTTTGCCCTATACACGTCAGTCTTCCCTCGGAGCCGTGAGCTCAGTCGGCTGATGGCGCGATGTGGATCTGGCTTGACAGGTATGCGTTGAGGAAACCTAGGACCCTGATGACTTGGGTTTGATAAGCACGTGCTACCTAAGGTCGAACGGTTCGAACTCGGTCGAGATAAGGACCTAGGGCACGCCACCTCCGGTAGATCTCACAAGTATGGAAAACGGACAGCGGGAAACCCTGGCGCGCCGTTGACACAAGTGAAATTTGTGCAAGTGTCGCCCCATGTTCAAGAGGGTTTAGGTCATCAGAGGGTTTTGAATGACACCGGCTTGACGTCTCCTGTGGCTTGACTCGCCTTGCCTTCGTTTGGCGTTTAACCGCAAATACGGTTAGCAAACCTTGAAGTGGTTTTATCACGTTCTTCGTCAGTGATGTCTATGCAAGGTGGGATTCATGAATTGGTGTGAGAGATATGCATGTGGAGGTTATGTAAAGACTAGGGACGGAGGTGGCAAGATATTCTCGTCATTATCATAACTATTCGATTTCACCCGAGCAGAATTTCAACACCACACCACGGTTGTTTGTCTACCTTTGGCATCGCGTTCCAGCCACAGCGCATGTGATTGAGGCTCTCTTACTCGGCCGAGCCGCATGATACTGGTTTGTGTAACCGGACAGAATGTCTCGCCCGTGAGGGAGGGCAACGGTCATGGAATCTCGTCGTACGTGCGTGCTGTTCTTGACTCGGGATGCAATGATGGATGGCACATGCACATGCGCATGCCGTTTGACAAAAGCATTCTCGCCTCGAGTAGTCTCTTATCTCGACGGCAAAGTTCTTTTTGCGCTGCTGGACTGAAGATCTGAACGAGCCAACGTTTCATGGGCCCAGGTTTTCTTCACGTTTCCCAGGTCGGGCGGGGGGGGGGGGGGGGGGGGAAGCATGGGACAATTCGAAAATGACTCGGGAGGACAACCTGTTTCTCGGACATGAGTTTTCTGAGAGACACGTGGGGGGTCTATTTCGCTGAGGTTCGTGGGCACTTCCATGGGACCGTGAGGGTGTACAAGGAAGGTCTGGAAAGAATGTTCGGTGGCTGTAAGGCAGAGGGGAGAGAGACTGAGACATGGGCGTAACATAGTACAGGCGTGTAGGTAGTCAAAGGAGAATTTGGGGCCTGGGCCGCGGGTAAATTCTTCATCGTTTCCCCCGATGATCGTGGCGAGTTGTAGTACAGCAGCATAGGGGTTTGTCACATTGATGAATGTCTTGTTTGTGTAAATGTCAGATCTCGTCAAGCCGTCTCCAAGGGTTACCTAAATGGGCGTGCCGTCGCTGTTGCACCCTGTGGGTAATTCTCCGACTGGTCTCGTTCGACTGATAAGAAGAGGGTGCTGGAAATCTAAACTCGGGATGATAAGACCCCTCTTTACGCCGGATATTGGTCAGAACAATCCGAGGTTTTCCTGCTGTGTAACTATGTAGCGGCAAGATGAGGAAGGGGAAACTAGCACCGGTGGCAATGAGATAGAAGCAAGAATCTCATTACTGAGGGGTGAACGGGGTTCATCTTGTAATTGGAATGGTGAGTAAAAGTTGTTTGTTGGAGGGCGCTGGAGGGGTTCAAGGAGGGGTTCAAGGAGGGGTTCATAGGACGGGATGCTACAGCCCAGTGTCCGTACCAAGATTCGGCGGCGTGTTCTGACGGCTGGATCTTACTTGCTGTAAGAGTCTAGTTTCTTTCCAATTTTTGTTTCCTTCGGGTGCGCTTTCTTCTTCCATTCTATTTCCCTCGTTTCTGTCTGGCGCCGCCGAGTCGCTGGTTCGAGATTGTAGACGTTGTGTCACTGAATATCACTCCCAGCCGGAGGCTTCTTTCTGCCGATCTCATGCGACGCTCGTTCAACGGTTGAATCATCCCCCCTGCAATGGGGGAAAAGGGTTCAAAAAATGTCCCGCAGGAAGATGCAGCGTGACACAGCTGGGATTTGCGACATGGCGACTTGGTGACTTGCAGGATAGTGACGAAAGACCATAATCCTTTCAACTGCACGCGCCGCTCTGCTGCGATATCTACGCAGTGCTGTGTGAGAGGCCATGAGTGCCAGGAGCCTCTTGACACTGGACCCTTGTAACGCTTAGCGTCCCAATTGCGCGCATGCAGATGAGGTGGGGACCCTCGAGAGACTCAGAGTGAGTGAGCGAGTGAGTGAGAGTGAGAGACAGGGCGTATCCGTACGCTTCCGCGCGAGGGCTACCTCTTCATGCATTCGCTGCATTGGCGCCATGGGCCATGTGTTTTGTGGGTGGCTATGGGCATGGGGGCATGGATGGATCAGATAGAGAAAGACAAGACCGATATGGAGCCCCGCTTCGACACAACATTTCTGTCTTTCACATGCTTTTTTGACTGACTGACTGAATGACTTGACTGCAAGTCCCTCCCCGTGGGCCCCGTCTTCACCGCGCAGGACATATCCACTGCCAGAGAGGAGAAAACGAAGAAGAAAAACAGGGCGAACGAATCTGCGATAATTAGCATGGGATAGAGACGGAAGAGAAAAACTGGAAGAAAAAGGCTGTCTGGGCATGGCCAGCCTAGATGGGAGGCCGGGGGCTCTTTGTGCTATAATGGTTCGACTACTATGTTGCGCAATTCTGCTACGCAACACGCTGGGACGCGCATAATAGGTAGGACGTAACAAAGACATGAGGATTTCAAAGTATCTTTTTCAGCGTTATCCGTACCTTACCGTTCTCTGACTCTGCATTTGAAATGGCAGCCAAGGTTCCGTGCTTGCAGAGACTCGAGAAGTAGAGAGAGGTATTATCTCACAAAACATGAGGTAAACTTTCCCTTCGTCTGACGGGACTTTCTTTTCCACTTCGTGTCAGACTATCTGCGAGCCGGCCACCGCCGATTCGATCCATCCGCCCATCAGATTTCCCGCCCCCCTACCCGCCTCAGCGGGAACGACTGCCAAAGAGAGAAGACGCAAACCGGGGGCAGAACTGGGTCATTCACCACTACCAACCGATACACTCCATCTCCCCCTCCACTCGCAGGTTCTTTCGCTTCTTAGTCGAGACTACAAAGTACCTATCACTACCTTGCTCTACTAGGCACTGCACTCCGTGACGGGCCTTACTTTACCGTGCCTCTTCTCTTAAGCCTTTCCCCCCCTCCCCTTCGCTTTCTTTGTCTCACCTTGGATTTTGCAACTCGCTCAAAGAAGCTTCAATCCCACTGTCTGGACCGGGACTCGACCTGGACTCGAACATTACTTTTTTTTTTTTGCCGATTCATCGTATTTGCCGTCCGCATCCTCTGCGTAGCACCCTACCTATCTTAGACTCGAAAAATTCCAACTACTTGGATACAACACGGTTGCCGCGAGTACCTCTAAACGTGGGATTTACAACAGCGGGGCAATCTCTTATCAACACTTTTTCTCGACAACATTCCCTCAGGCGCAAAGCAACGGGCGTTTGGGCTAGATCTCGACGTTTTTGGTCCGCAACATTCCTTCACTGGCGACAACGCCCTACGCCCTCTCTATCACAAGCCTGGGACTTACCAGAAGAGCAGACCGAGAACAGACCGCCACGCCATCTCACCGAATTCCCCGACAACCATAGATTGTCAACATAGGCGGACGGACGGACGGTAGTGCCCACGCCCCTCCTCGCCCTCCTCGCGTTCAATAGGGAATAATAAAAACACAATGCCCCCCTTGCGGCCCTGGGGTCCCATTTTCGAAGAGATTACTCTTCCGCAGAATAGAATGTCATCGACAGTTTTCTCGATGCTGCCAACCTCTCTTCAGTCCCGGCTACCGCCGCTGCGGTCTATCCGCAAGAGCGCAAGCATGCAAACCCTCACCTCGAGCAGGCAATCACACACCCGCACCCTGTCGGGACTCGACGACGGCGTCCACCGAAACATTACGCAGGCGCGCCTCGTCTCCGAGAGCACGGAAGAGCAGCACATGAGCTTGGTGGCCACCGAACACCGGACGTACGAGGTGCGATCGGCGGCCGAGAAGCATGAGCAGCAGCAGCGGCAACAAGCGGAACAGTACTATCAGCAACAGCAACAGCAAGCGCCTAGTCAATGTTCAAACGTAGATTGGCGCTTCGCCCAGCAAGGTGAGAGCCGTTGTGATATTAGTTGATGTCTTCGACTTACATTTAGCTTCACAGGACTTGCTTTGATCGCCGTCGCCCAAGATGAGTTGAGGCATCCGTCAAGGCGGCCGGCAGTCGATTTTGAGAGGAAAGCGTTTCTCGACGGAGTCGAGTACATCCTCAAGGCCCTTCCCAACGACCTAAACGAACACGAGCTTCACCGACTCCGCACGTCGACACCCCCCAATTTCATCCCACCACCAAGTCCGGGCGGTCGGACGTATTCTCCGTCGCGGGGTGCGAACAACGGCAGATCGATTCTTCACCGGGGCGTCCAAATCGCAGTCGTTAACATCTTCATCCTCATCCACCTGGCGCTGCCGTACATCATCCTCATGCTGCGGTTAGCGGCCCGCACGGAGAGGGAGTACCGGATATCGGAGAACCTCGTGGGTGCGGGCATGGGTCTCGCCAATGCGATTGGCAGCAAGGGAATGCGCATAACCGGGGCGCTGTACAACGTCGGTGACGGCAGGCTCGGGCAGGCTCTCACGGAGGCCGTTGCCTGGACGGTTGAGGGCCTCACGGGGGGTCTATCCGATGGTGTCGGCGAAGGCTTGTCTATTGTGGCGCCCAAAAGACAATGAGACGACTGATGACGAGGACACTTAACGCAATATGACATGGGAATTTCATCATATTTATTTTCGGGTTTAGAATTTTCGGAGTATATCTTGGTTTCCTAGTGTCAGCAGGTAAGGTACGGTTGCTGCAAACGCAGGTGCTTGCTCTAGGTGGGACATCTCCATTTGAAAGATTCAGTTAGACCAAGTGTGGGATGGAGTGGGTTCTACTTGAGCTTTACGATAGCTCACACTAGCTTGCTGGGTCGAGCTCAGCTGGGAGAGTCCTCTTGTCATAACATCTCACTTGAGAGCTTACTTGACTATGAGGTTTGCTGCGATGATCCAAGAGATCGGAGTCTAGTCAGCACATCGCCACGAATTATCGGTGGTGCGCAAGGATTGTGTTATAGAGAAACTCATTTTCAACACTAATGAATAAATGACCTTTGATATTTGTTGGCCCAAACGAGTCAGGTTTGCTTCCCATGAGATTTAATGATAGATGAAGTAAGGGAAGACCAAGTTTAGTAGGGACACGGAGTACAGCAGAGCGGCTACCCGTCATAAATTTGGTCAGACCTTTCATTGTGCGTTCTGACCGGCTTGCAAGAGGAGATCGGTTTATCGGTTGGCTCTGCTACAATGTTGGATTTTCAAGTTTTGTTTTAGAAAAGCGACTACCTTACCTTAAGTTAAGAATCGTGATTGTTCACCTTACCTCAAGTGAGTTGAGAGCGCAAAAGCATGAGTGCTCCCACAATCAACGCTAAAAGCTTGCCTCGCAGGGGTCGAAGCCGGAGCGTCCCGGGGCGCGTCAATGAGTGGCTGTTCCATCCCGTCCCCTGTCAGTTGCAGGAAAGACCCACAGAGAACTCAAGGAACCAACCGAAGCTCAGGGAAAACGTGAGTGATGGGCAGATAAGGCCGGGAAAAAATTCTTATCGGCTCGCCTCCTGTCTCCCAGCTCTTTCTCGCAATCCAACTGGCGAAAAACGAGGACGACAGATTTGCATCCTACACACCCTCCTTCATCCACTCCCTTTCTTTCTTTCTAGAACCAAAGAGCTGTATTGTATCGTCCTTTTTCTTCGGTAGCTACTGTTTTTTAATCACATCCTACAAAAATACACACAAACACATACAAATGTTTCGCCAATCTCTCAGGAGGTGCGCTCGCATCAGCGGCGCAACCTTTGCCGCCCCGGCTCTCCGAACGACCAGACCTGCCGCCTTCCAGACGATCGCGAAGTCCCCGGCAAGCGCGCTTCGCGTGCCCCTCAGCATTAATGCGTTCAGACTCTACTCTAGCGAGGCCGCCAGCGCAGCGGCCGCGCCGGTCGTCGAGGATGAAGGAAACGCCTCCGGTTTGACGACAAAGTTTGCGGATTTGACGAAGTTGGGCGTTCACCCGACCCTTGTCGATACCATCACGCACAGAATGCGGTACGAGAACATGACGGACGTCCAGAGCAAGACCATCGAGCCTGCACTAAAGGGCATGGACCTGTAAGTCGAATCCAACCCTCATCAGCGCGCCTGTGCCGTATAATGTAATAACGTCACCTTTCAGGGTCGCCCAAGCAAAGACAGGTACCGGAAAGACCCTGGCGTTCCTCGTTCCCATTCTGCAGAGGATGATTGCGGCGGATCCGTCGCTCGCAACCAGAAAAGCGCGGTACCAGGCTAGCTCTAAGGACGTTCGTGGAATCATCATTTCCCCTACACGTGAGCTCGCCGAACAAATCGCCCTCGAGGCCGAGAAGCTGTGCGCGGGCACGGGTCTGGTCGTCCAGCGTGCCGTTGGTGGAACACGAAAGGGCGAGATGCTGCAGAAGACCCGCAGAGAAGGTTGCCACTTGCTCGTTGGTACACCCGGACGTCTCAACGACCTTCTCGAGGACCCCTACAGCGGAATTGAGGCACCTAATCTAGCTGCGATTGTCCTCGACGAGGCTGACCGCATGCTTGACGTCGGTTTCGAGAGGGAGCTGCAGTCCATCGTCGACCAGCTGCCCGACCCCAAGACTTCTGCGCGCCAGACTCTGCTCTTCTCTGCCACCATCCCCAAGAACGTCATCGCTCTTGCCCGCCAATGGGTCCGCTCCGACAACTTCGACTTCATCCAGACCATCTCCAAGGACGACGTTCTCACCCACGACAGGGTTGACCAGCACGTTGTCCACTGCAGAGGCTGGGCCAACGTCTTCCCTGCCATGTACGAGCTCATCGACAAGGAAATCCAGAAGAGAACTGCCGACCGGGAACTGCTGCCCTTCAAGGCCCTCGTGTTCCTGCCTACGTCGGCTTTGGTCGATCTTGCTGGCGATGTCGACATTACGATGAGAGCGGACCGCGATCGCGTCCAGGGCTGGAGAATCCACTCCAAGCTCACCCAAGGCCAGCGCACCAAGGCTGCAGAGTTGTTCCGCAAGGCCAGGTCTGGCATCCTGTTCTCCACCGACGTTACTGCCAGAGGTCTCGATTTCCCCAACGTCACCCATGTTATCCAGATTGGCGCTACCTCGGACCGTGAGCAGTACATCCACAGACTCGGCCGCACGGCTCGTGCAGGCAAGGAGGGTGAGGGATGGATGATTCTCGCCGACAGCGAAATGGACCTTGCCCGCCGGGAACTGCAAGGCCTTCCCTTGAAGCCCAACAAGACGATCGAGTGTGCTCAGCACGACTTCACCAGTGGAGACGAGCCTACAGCCATTTGCCAGAAGGTGACCCAGGCTACTGCTCGGGTCGACCCCCAAGTCTTGGAGGTTGCCTACCTGTCCCTGTTTGGTCAGAACCGCGACAACGTCCAGGCCAAGGTTGACGAGCTCCGCGAATGGTGGGTCAATGCCATGGAGCAGGACGATACGCCCGCCCTGAGTGCTTCTACTATCGAGAAGCGTGGTCTGCGCAGAGTCAGGGGTCTCAACGTCAGACAACCGGGCTCTAGGTACGGCAGCGACAGTGGCGGCCGTGGCGACCGTGGAGGCTTCAGCCGTGGTGGCGACCGCGGTGATCGAGGTGGCTTCAGCCGTGGTGGTGACCGTGGTGGTGACCGTGGTGGTTTCAGCCGCCGCGAGCCCCGCGATGCTTTTGAGAAGATGGAGATGGACAGCACCAGCTCTGACCGCCGCTCAGGTGGTTTCAGCCGGAACGGTGGACGTGGCTTCGGTGGAAGAGAGCGTCAGCAGAGATCGTCCTGGTAAAGCAGAAGATGACGACACCAGCGCCCTGGAAGCGTAGCGGGCACGAGCGAAGGAACGAAGAGAACAACCAAAAGCGAGAAAAAGGAAAAGACCCCAATGAATCGGAAGAGGTCTGTGAGATACGGAAGACGTTTTTTCTTTAACGACCTCGGAAACTGAATTAGACATGTCATACCATACCCCCACCCCAATCCCCCATCATCACCACCACTCCCCTTTCTTCCTGCTTTTTGAGGGAAACAGGCTTGTACCATACCATTTTTGCAACGGAGCACAGGAAAAAAGGGGGCTTTACTCGAGGGAGTTGTGCTTGTATTACCACCACCATCACCACCGACATTGGGACGAGGCTAAAGCGCCTCGAAAGAGATTTCAACTGTACGAGATTAAGAGGGGGCGAAGGAAAAGGATGCTCAATTGTAGCGTCATGTAAATAATATTGAGGGACATTGAATCTCCAAATCTCATCTTCAAAGATACAAACACACAATGTCACGTCTGAAATGGATACAACGTGATGACTTTCTCAACATGATTGGTTCTGCGTTAGGGCGGTGCCTATCTCTGTGTGCTCATCAACTTAACTGACAGCAATAGTCTGCCCTTTACGTGCAGTTCTCTGAGCGGTTCATATCAGATCAGACATTGTATTAATTACGAGTCCCATCCGCTCCGAGCAACGCCAGGCAAATGTCATTTTACAGCCATGTACGGTTTTCCCAGAAAAGGGGGGTGGCCAGGTCCCCCTTTATGTTTCTGAAGATTATCACCATCCTCGTTATGTACGCGCGCGCGCGCCTGCCCTTTAAGAATACCCTCCTAAACGCCCAGATAATGGCAAAAAAGCCTAGATTGAATGCGCGCCTCTTCCAAGAGAAGAAGGGTATCAGCATCCCCAAAACCCCAAAAAGAAAAAGGACGGAACCAATCATTGCGCAAAACAGAAGCACGAAGCTCATCTTCAGTCAACTCTCTCTCTCTCTCTCTCTCTCTCTCTCTCTCTCTCTCTCTCTCTCTCTTCACCGACCACCACCCAACAGCGCGTTGGCATCCCAAAGAAGAACCCTCTCGTCCCAGCCAACGGTAGCCACCCACCCGCCGACGCCAAAAAGACACCAGTCGACACCGACAACGAACTCGGTATGCCGATTCATAACCCCAACCTGCGCACCAATCTGCGCCCCGCCCGCAGGTCCTGCCGGGGGCGCATTCGACCGATCATCCCACAACCGGACCGTCATATCATAACTCGCCGTCAACAGCAAATCGCTCGCGTGCGGGCTCCACGCCAGCCTGCGAACGGCGTACTCGTGGCCCTGCATGACGGCCGTGGGTCCCGCGGTCGGGTTTCGAATGTCAAAGGTGCGGACGGCGCGATCGACGCCGCCCGTGGCGATGACGGTGTCGCGGTACTTGTTCCAGTCGTGGGTGAGGACTTCGCCGGGCGCGGCGGAGGGGAAGGAAGGGCCCGCGGCGTGGACGGGGATCATGGAGGTTAGGTGGTAGCGGGAGGAGACGGGGGTGCGGAGGTCAAAGATGCGGATTTGGGAGTCGGAGGAGACGGAGGAGATGATGTGCGGGTTGGAGGGTTGGAAGGAGGCTGAGTAGGTGCAGTTTCCTACGGGGAGGGTGCGGAGGGAGTGGTCGCGGGTTGGGGACCACTGTAGCGGTTGGTTAGTATGAGATTGTCTCTACTCCTTGGAGAATATTCGACAAACATACCACTTTGATCGTGCCGTCCCACGAGCTCGAGACAAAGGTGTCCTTTGTGATGGGGCTCCAGTTGACGGAGAAGGTCTCGCGCTTGTGTTCGTGGAAGTTCATGACGGGGAAGTCCTTGACGCCGAGGTCGAAGAGCTTGATGGAGCCATCGCCGCAGGCGACGACGAGCTGGTTTTCGTTGATCTCGGACCAGGCGAGGTCATATTGCGAGTCGTTTGTGTCGAATCTATTTTTTTGGTCATGGGTTATGTGAGCTGCTAGCTAAGGAGGGGTAAAGAAGCAGAAGGAGGGGTGAGGGACAGGACTCACGTCGTCTCGACTTCGATGCCTCGCGCCGTCAGTCCAAGACAAAAGACGCGGCCGTTGCCGACTATGCCAAAGTTGGCCGACGATGCGACGGCGATGCGCGAGTCGTAGTAGGGAGAGTACTTTACGGCGTAGGGGTTGTAGCCCTGCGTGCGGAACTCGAGCATTGGGGCCATGGCGAGCGAAGTTCACGCAACGCAATGCGCGATGCGGCCCGTGAGTCTCTTTTCTTTGGAGTCGTCGCTGGTCGAGAGCGAGGGAAAAGTCAGGTTGGTGGTTGACACAGGCAAAAGGTGCTGAACAATCAGCTAAGGTACTGCTCTACACACGCACAACAACAGAAAAAAGCATATGACGGCGGGACGGGATAGCTCTGGCCGGTCGACGGTTACATCACCGCGCCCGATCCGGGGTACCTCGGCAGACTGGGGGAGGCAGGGCCAGGCCAGGCGGGTTTGCGGGCAACGCCGCCAGTGGGCAGTGGGTGGTGCGGATGGCGGGGCAGAAGATGTAGTAAAGTTGAAGATGCGATTATCGGGGGCAACTGGTCCAAGGTGGGGGGAAGTAACACGTGCTTTCGCGCTACACACGCGCCTGCTCACTACGCCCTTTGCAATGACACTTGCTCGCAACATGGGGTCCGGATTACTAGGGCTTTTTTGCTTCAGTCTTGGACTCAGTTGATTCCCTTTCCAAAAGCTCGGATGAGATTGGTGGGCATGTCCATCCCTCTTCATGACTTGCATGAGGTTGATCTTTCGTGTCGTCTTTGACTACCTACGTCATGGACTCTTTTCTCATCAGGAAGAAGCGGAAACTCACTCAAGAGGAGAAGCCCACTGAGGATGATGAACCGACCGAGGTGAAGCTGGCTATTCTCTCCTCTCTCCATCCTATTTTGGAGCAAGATGTACTGTTGGACGTCCTTTTAGCCCACAATGGCTCCGTTGCGGAATCGCTCGAGGCTCTCAAGGCACCAATCCCGATCAAAAAGTCGAATGGGGTCAATGGTGCCCAGAGCTCCCTTCGACACTTTGGTGTCAGATCGGAAGACAGCAGCAACGGCCCGCAACCAAAGAAGAAGCTCATGTCCAAGAAGGGGGCCACGCTTCACCTGTACGATCCGGTCGACATTGCTGAACACACGCCGTGCACCGTCATCCACAATTTTCTCCCGCCAGAGGAAGCCAATGACCTCTTGCGAGAGCTCATGACAGAGGCAAAGTCCTTTGAGAAGAATGTTACCTTCAAATTATTCGACAACGTCGTGGCTAGTCCGCACACGTCGAGCTTCTACGTCGAAAGCTACGACGAGATTCAGACGCAGAAGACGGACTACCTCTATAACGGCGCTAAGCTGAGTGACATTCGCCGCATCACGCCACAGCTCATCAAGGTCAAACCAAAAGTCGCAGAGGCTGTGAATCAAGAGATTCAGGCAAGAATCAAGACTCGCTACCCCGGGGGCAAGAAGCTTCGGTACCAATCGCCCAGGCCTTGGGCTCCCAACATGGCCTTTGTGAACTGCTACGACGGGCCGCAGGAGAATGTTGGATGGCACAGCGACCAGCTGACCTATCTCGGCCCCCGCGCCGTGATCGGGTCGATATCACTGGGCGTTGCGCGGGAGTTCCGCGTGCGAAGAATCATCCCCAAGGACGGTGGCGGCGAGAACGGAAACAGCACGGCGACAACAGCTGAGGACGCCGACGCAGAGGGCCAGATCTCAATCCACCTTCCACACAACTCCCTTCTCGTGATGCACGCCGAGATGCAAGAGGAGTGGAAGCACAGCATCGCACCGGCGCAGGCCATCGACCCGCACCCCGTCGCTGGCAACAAGCGCATCAACATCACCTACCGCGATTATAGGGCCGACATGCATCCACGACACACACCAAAATGTGACTGCGGGATCCCCTGCGTATTGAGGGTTGTGCAGAGGAAAAAGGAAAATCACGGGAGGTACTTTTGGATGTGTCACGGGGGCAATGTGCCCGGCAAGGACAGTTGCTCGTTTTTCCAGTGGGCCAAGTTTGACAACGATGGGGCTCCTATATGGACTCATACAACTCCGAAGCTCAACTCTTGATTTCTTTCAACGCCTCAATCTTGATCGACTACAAAGCAACCTCACTATCAAACGCCTCATCAAATGTCACCCGTACACGCTACTGTGCCACTCAGGGGTTCACGTATCCAGGCTGATGCTCAGTCTTACCATCGATCTGGGCAACCTTCAAACTCTTTACATTCACCCCGTCTAGAACCCGCGCGTTGACGGGATGCCTCGTCTTCGACCTCTCGTACCAGTACTGCGCTAGCTCCACCAAATTACTCTGTTCTTCCTCGCTCAGCGGGTTGAACTGATTGGTGATGGGGACGCCACAGTTCTTGCAAAACGTCTTTGCGAGAATGTGGTGGCCGAAAATGTAGCGGCCGATCTTGTCGTCGTCTCCCGTCAGCACGACTTGGTCGGTGTTGGGGTACACCCAGACGTATCCATTCTATTCAAGAAAAGTTAGCACAGTTTTTCTTCCCCTTCTCACCCGACGCGGGCATTAGCGGAGGTATTGTTTGCTGACCCTTTCGCAGATGCTGCAGTTGCACTCGACGACTCCGTCTTCGTACGTCTCGTCGATGGGCTTGCTGACGACGGCCACCGTCAGAGCGCCGCAGTGGCAGCTGCCGGTGTATAGCTTGCCCCCCTCGACCTCGGCTGTTGGCCCGGGACCCTTGTGGGTGTGAGGCTCGTATTTAGCGCCGTAAGACGCGCCGTCGTAACTGCAAAGGCCGGGTTAGTTTTCAATCTATGGAATTCGAGGAACGGCTTTTTTTGGAGATCGGGGCTGCATACGTCTTCTTCTCCATGCCGAAAATATCGAGGTCTTGGATCGAGCGCACCTGCATAAATGTCAGCCCTAGTGTTTCTTCCCCCTCGGACAGATCTTGAGACGGGGCGGCAAGGATGCGAGATACTCACGTTAAGGACGATTCCGTTGGGGGAATCCGCCAGGATGGGCGTAGCACAGTTTCCGCAGAACTTTGAGGGAAAAATTCGTCAGCACTATCGGACACCAATAGTCCACAATTTCAAACTCCTTCTAGAGAATCTTCATGTTTCCACCTGTGCATATTCCCGAGGACTCACCTTGTGCGTAATTTGGCCCGGACCAAAGTTATACGTCGAGAGGTCATCCTCGGCGCCCTTGACGAAGCGCAGGTCGTCGCGTTGGGGAATGACCCAGAGGGTCCCCTTCCTAGAGCAGAGGCTGCAGTTGCAGGCGCTGACGGACTTGATCTCTGGGAGCTGGACCTCGTAGACGAAGGTCTTGCAGTGGCAGTTGCCACGATAGGTCTGCTTGGGCTCTCCGGTGGTGGTGGTGGTCATGTTGGAAGATGGAAATGGTATCAATTACGTGTGTTGTGAGGTTATAGAATGATTGTACAAAGATAGAATGATTGAATTGGTTGCGAGATCACAAATTCAAAGAAGGCTTATTTGCCCGGTTCTTTATAGAACTCAATCCAAGAGCTTTTCCATACCTCATCGAGACGAAGCGAAGCTGACCAAGTTGAGGGGGAACCCCCCTCCCTAGTGAGCGCCACAATTTGTTGAGACAAGCAAGTGGACTCTATCGTAACTTGGAACCGGGGATACGTTCCTACAGGACAGGAGATGTAGACACAGTACATTTTCGGGCAAGTCCATCGTCCACGAAACGGACGAGTCTATCGTCCGGACACGGGGTTTCGGCGCAAATATTTTCTTTCGCTTACTTTGGTGGTTGATCCCAAGAATCTGAGTCACCGACATGACATGACCCCGGGGGGAGGTCGTGAACATTGCTGACGGCAGAAAATGGTGTAACACGCGCGGGGTCTCCTCGTCTCTGCAAAGTATCGTCCGTGAACGCCAGAGACTAGCAAGAGCTAGAGTTTTATGAGGTAAGGGTGTAAGAAACTCTAGAGCCAAGCCACATACGACGCCTCTCAGCTCTGCGCGCGCGATTGACTGGGGGTGAACGCCAGATTATCACGTTGTCAGGTGACTCTGTACGCCTCGTTTCCCTGGGGATTCTTAGTGTTTGCATTGGAGCAGGTTATACCCCGCACCAAAGAGGCGTTCCATACAATAAAGCCTGGCTAGATTAGCATTTGCCTATTGCTTCAGGGAGGTTTCTCTTGGAGCTCGGTGTGAGACATTCACGAAATGTAAAGAGTGTGAGTGTGTACCAATCGTGCATCAGGCCTGCATCTTGACTACCGACGTCTTCACGGCGTGTCCTTTTAATTGTGGCGCCGAGTTATCTTATTATCTTATAGCTGGGCATGCAAACCTCGGTTCAGCTGAACATGAAATGAGACCCTTTTTTGGAAGAGTGAGGTGAGGCTGGCGAGTAAGCGAAGGGGAGTTTGAGTATGGATAGACAAGGGGGGATCAGATCAAACAGGCAGTCAGCAGGCAGCAGGGAATCGACGTCATATTCTCTTTCCTTTTCTCTCTCCTCTTCCTCAAAATACTATTCAAAGACGAAGAGCGTGTTTGTTGGGGATAAGATGGTTGATGAGCCATGGTACCTTGTTTGTTGGAGTTGTTGGAGTTGTTGGAGTTTTGTCGACGTGAAACTCTGTTGTGGTAAGCGAGAGCTGGGTCATTCGGAGTTGGTGATCTGGCATGTTGGGGCTGAAGGACCGAAGAAGGAAACGAGACGAACGTTGGATGTCTACCAGCTTCGGGCAGATTGTTGAGACGAACGCGCCCACTTATCGGGAGGGTTTATGTCATCCTTCCGTCCGTCCGAACGGGACTTTAGGTGCCGTTACTGGGGCTTGGTGGGGAAGGGCCTCGTCGGAGTCGGAGGGATTCAAAAAGAGAAGCTATCTCGACGTCAATAAGAAGAATAGTGCACCCTCTCCTTCAGTCTCTCAATCGAACACCGAATCGGGGCACGTGGTAAAGAGGCAGGTTTGGCTTCAAGCTCTACATACAGTGTAGCCCATCGGACTTTAGCGGATGTTCAATGTCAGCCGGTCGAGTGTCATCACCTGCGGAGCGGAGGGTTCGCCCGACTTATACCCACCACCGACGACCGTCGGCCGATACAACGTCCGCGTATGGTTATGACTACCTTGCCAAGGTAAGTAATCAGTAGAATCGGCTATTTCAACGGAGAAAGGGCCGAGCGGTATCTTCAGAAATTTCTCGATGCTCTGATTTTCGATCACATTTTTACGAATTGCGTCCACGTCTAGTATTGTGCTCTTACAGTACCTCATCAGTTTGCAGCCAGAACCTCGTTGGTTTTCCTTCCGTCTGACGTAGATGGACAATGAAGACACGCGAAAGACGCCATAATTACGCTCCGTGCCTACCTCATGTTCTTTCAATTTAACAAGAATAGGTTTATAATCGCTTAATCAGTTACGAAGCAATATCTCCGTCCAATCGGCGGCATGCAAAAAACGGTCGCCAAGATCTGGGCGCCAGTTCGAGTGCTCCCCAACTATCCCAAGTTCGTCTCATTTAAGGTAAGGAGATTTTTCCCCCTCCCCGCATAGAGATTTCGAATCACACCTCGCAAGCCTGCACCACCAGGGATCAGCCGTCACTCATTCCGCTTACAGGTCCGTACCGGCTCCCGTAAACTCCGGGGCACCCGTTCCGCGGATGACAACCTTAATGCAACGGCTATTGTTCATGGCCCCCCATTCTAAACTCTAGGGACTTGAGCAGCAACCCTCCCCTTTTGGAGCCACTGGGTTCCCTCCCCTTGACTTTATCCATCCCCCAGTCATCACAGTCAAAGACAAATCACCAATGTTGCTTCAACCGCGCGCGCCCCTTTCCACATTCCATTCATCCCGCAGGTGCCGCCAAGATTTGATCAACATCAGCAGGTTGCATTTCTAAAGAGGACGGCCGCCGATTCGTTTAAACGTCTTTTCTGAGACCTTGTCAACCTTGTTTCTCGTCATACCTGTATAAAGTGGAAACCCGCCTCTCCCTTTCAAGCCTCCGTTGATTGCCCAAACCAACAATGTACAGGTCTTGGAAATAAACTAAGGTTACCTTCCGTTTATAATATACCCCCAGTCTCCTCCACCTCTCATCTCTTGGGACCTGCTCTGATGGGAAGTCACCCGCCGGCAGTTCGTTGCATCGCGTACTACGTGATTTGGCTTGGCGGCGCAGAAAAGGGGAGTCCCAGGACCTTCGCAACACACGTAGCTTAAGCCAAAGGTGACAAAGATTGATTCCATCACATCCTCGGTCTTCGGCTACATGCATGGGATAGATGATCGCAGGGGAAGAGAGATCTACCTTCCTTTGCAGTTGCAGGGTGATCCTGTCTAGTGTAAAGGAATGCACTCCGTAGTATATGCAATACACGACGGTCTGCCGGCACTTTGCTTTGAACGAACATGCCGTGGAATACAGGGAGGACGGATGATGGCCAAGATCTACAACTTTGTCATTCCCCCGCTCCCGGCCTGTCAGGGAAGAGAGACCCAGTGTGATGATCCAAGTGTGGTATCAACGATCTTGTATGTAGGGCAAGCGAGTTCGGATGGAAACCGCTTCCGCGCTGCTGCCCCTGCCATGATTTTGCCTTGTTAATGATGTAGAAAGCTGGTCCTTGCCTTCTTGGCCCCCCAGTCTTTGTCTTAAAGAGCGGGCAAGACGTCGGTCCCTCTTCCTTGATTCTGGCTCCGCTTGCTGTTCTTTGTCTCTAACCTATTCATTCATACTTCCCGTCTCCAGTTTGTGGAGTTGAAGTTTCGGGGCGTGCTCTTCATTCTCTTATTTTCCAGGACATCCAAACCGGCCTTCGTCAGGTTGTTGTTCTGAGACGATCATCTAGCCCGTGGCCCTCCCTTGTGAATACTCGCGGCTGCCCTCGTCACGATATCCGTATAATGGCACCCATCACATCCCTCGTCGCGGTTGCTGCCGCGGGTGCAGCTCTGTTCTCGACAGTCGCAGCTCAATGCGCAAACCTCACTCCCGTCGCGCAGCCCCAGCTAGCCGCGGGATACAGCTCCAAGCTCATCTTGAACGGGCTGTCAAGGCCCCGCAGTCTCCAGTTTGACACTCTGGGCAACCTGCTCATCGCGGAGCAAGGAGGCACGGGTGTCAAGTACGTCAAGCTCACAGATAATGGCGGAGTGAATGTCTGCGTGGCGTCTCAGAAGACCCTCATTTCCAACACAAACGTAGGAAGCCAAACCATCCCGTCAGTGTCTTCATGACCAACGTAGTAACTAACTTGTGCTCGTCTAGCTTGCTCACGGCTTGGCCCTGTCTGCAGACGGCAAGACCATCTATGCGGCGACGGCGTCCGAAGTATTCGCGTACCCTTACGACGCTGCTGCTGGTACTGTCGGGCAGGCGAGGTCCATCATCAACGGCATGACGCAGACTGGCCACCAGAGCCGCACTTTGCTGATTCCCAAGGACAAGCCGAATGTCTTGCTCGTTTCTCGCGGCTCCGCTCCGAACCTTGACCTCCCAACCGCCGAGGCTTCGTCCGGCCGCAGTCAAATTCGTGCCTTTGATCTCACGAAATTGACGGGCAGCGCTGTGGACTATACAACGGGGGAACTCTTTGGATGGGGACTGCGAAACAGTGTTGGTGTTGGAGAGAACCCCTTGGACGGAGGCATTGTAAGTGCTTGGTGCATTCTCACAGAGATTTCAGCCGGCTAATGTCATGTCAGTGGTCTGTCGAGAACTCTCTGGACAACATGGACCGCAACGGTGTGGACATTCACAATGACAACCCTGGAGAGGAGCTGAACTACCACGGCAGCTACAGGGCGGCGTCAAACCCGCAGAAGGGTGCAAACTATGGCTACCCCAACTGCTTCGCCGTCTGGGAGACCAGCACTGTCACGGGCGTTCCCAATGTGAAAGTGGGAAGCCAGGTTATCCAAGGAAATGCGACTGGCAGCGTCACAGACCAGTACTGCCAGACTGTTCCCACACCGCCGCGGCTCACTTTCCAGGCTCATATGGCGCCGTTGGATATCAAGTTCTCCCCCAGTGGATCATCCGCCTACATTTCCTTCCACGGCAGCTGGTAAGTGCTTCTGGATTGTGGGCATGATGGAGCAAACGTTAACGGTATTTATAGGAACCGCTCCCCTGGAGACGGCTATCGTCTCAGCAGAGTCGACTTCGGTGCCAACGGACAGCCCCTTGCTGCGTCTACCAGCAAGACGGCTGAGGTCAAGGTTGCGTGGAACGTTAACAACGCTGTTTGCCCCGGAAGCTGCTTCCGGCCTGTTGGCCTTGCGTTTGACAAGAAGGGCAGGTTATTTATGCTTAGCGATTCCACCGGCGAGCTTTTCGTCCTTACGGTGCCTGCTTAGAGTTCGGGCAAGCCGTGCCACCGTTTTGGTTGACAACGGGGTTGAGGGGTTTCATGGCCAGAATTGAGTGAACTTTTTGCGCGAAGAGATGGGCAGGTTCGCAGGGAATTTCTTGCACATAGTTATATTGGCCAGCCTGGCAATGACGATATTTTGACAAGGCATTCGGATTGAGATGCTCATTGACAAGGGAAACGCTGTTTGTCAAACGAGTCAAACGAGTCAAACGAAACATTTCCTCCCAAGTCCTAACGAGGTTCCCCAAGACACCCGACAGACAAGCGGGGAAGTTGTGTGTATCTGGATGGAATTAGTGGTTGCTGTGCAGCAACGCAGAGCTCGACCCCTGCCTCGGCCCGGGCTTTCTGTGGGCAAAACGGGGTCCTCCCAGAGTCCAATGGGCGTGCTGGGCTATCCCGTTTTGCACCCAGTTGGGGAAGGCGCTCTCTGTGGCACCCACGCCAGAATCCGTGTTTCCCGCGATGATGTGCGCCAGGCAGGCACGACAGGCACAAGTGGGAGCCTTTAGATCACCTGTCTTGTCAGTCACTCAGTGTACCTTAGGTGCTTACTGTGTAGGTGACAGGCAGGCGCAAACTGCGGGTGGTGTCGCGCAGACGCAACTAATGGCGCAGCGCTCCAATCACACGTCGCATGCCCGCCCTTCAGTCTCACACGTCCCGTCCCTCCGGGCCTTCCATCCATCCATTCTCTTCCATGAATCCCATCCATCCCTCCCTCGTCTCCCGCCTTTTTCTCTCACCCAGGAGCAGCCTTACTCAAGAATTCGCTCCCGCATTCTTTCCAGATGGGACTGAACCATCACGTCAGACATTGAATTTGCCATTTTCCGTCCCGTCATTTTCGTGGACTGATCCACAGAATCGAGCGACATTTTTCTTGTCGCCATCTACTCGACACCCACGGCCAAGCGCTCGGAATCTGTCTCAGGCTTTGCGACGCTGCAACGTCGGAGCCAAAGCCGTTCAATCCAGGACCGCCGACGCGCGCGCTCGCTGTTCGGCACGACCTTGGGCTGCTAGCCTGATTCCTTTCGTTTTCACACGTCTTTGCGTGCATTCCCCATCGCCACTTGGCCGCACCATCCGACAAACGCCTGCTACTATTCTCAAGAGCCGTGCAGCCCTACGAACGAACGACCGAACCGACCCGATCTACCGTCACGGCGTTCCTGCAGGCGATTTTACCCTACGACTACGCGAGTCTAACCGTCGCGCCACGGACTATACGTCATCACGAAATCACACTCGTCCCAAGTTTTGCGACCTAAGGCACGCGCGCGCGAGAACGAGATGCCCCTCCTTCCTCGCCAAACCACCACGAACGGTGTCGTCGTTGTCCCCGCCACGTACGGCGGCTGGTCGAGCCTCGGCGCCGGCGCGATCGTGGGCATCACCCTCGGCGCCGTTGCAGGGTTCCTGCTCGTCCTGTGGATGGTCTACACCTGCCTCAACTTTGGCCGGCCGATCGAGGCCTCGTCGTCGTCGGTGTACACGGGTACCGCGTCGGTCGTCTCGGTGCGGCGGCAACGATCCAAGAGCCGGCATCGCCACCGCAAACATCGGAGCCCGCGGGCGAGGGTGATTGCGACGGAGGAGGTGCGGGTTAGGGAGAGCGTGAGCAGGCCGCGGGCACCGAGTGGCGGTGGTCCCATTATTGTTGAAGCCGCGCCGCCGCCGCCGATGCAGGAGCGGAGGCATAGTCGGGCGCCGCCGCCGAGGATCGTGACGGATGATGAGGAGGATGAAGTTGTGGTGATTGAGGAGCATTCGCCGTCGGATAGGAGGAGACGACGCCATAGCAGCTCGCGGCGGCACAGTCACCGGGGAGAGAGCCGGCGTGGGAGCCGGGACTACTGAGGTTTTGGCCTACCTACCAACCCAACGTCCAAAGTCGTGGTGTTTTTTTTTCTTCTTCTTTTTCTTTCTTTCCCCTTTCTAGCGACTGGATTATTGTTGGGGCTTTTTGTAATAAATTCTGTGGCGGTGCCGTGAGTGCGACAAATTCACCTGAGCGATGAGCAATGTTGTACGAACTTTTTTTATTGGCAAGGTTGGATGATATACTAGGGTGGTTGTACGTCAAACATGCAGATGGCACATGGGTACTGGAAATCCCGATCGGAGCGAGAAGAGAACCTAAGGATGGGAAGGAGAAGGAGGACAGGAAGTGTCAGATGAATGATCAAAGTGTGGGGTGACTCCGGACAGCAAGATGGTGCCGAAGGACGTGTTCGGTTTCGATACGAAAGTCCGTATTCCCATACGCTGGGAGGGATGCTGGTTGATGTTGAATGTTTCCCGAATACGGCGGACTAAGGCGATCCCATGATCTGTGTATCATGCCAATGGGTGGGCATCGTGGTGCTGGTGCAGCCTCGGTAGCCGGTGCGCGCGGTGTGAGGAGGTTCCATTACCCATATTCCGGGCGTCGTCACCTTTTTTTCTTGCACGCATGAGAAGACATCTGAAGGAAATGGCGGGGGAGATCGAGCGTGTTTTTTTTTTGGGTGATGAGATGGAAAGGCGATTGATACCAATGCGCGGATATAATCTGGACTACTTATTCTTCCCATTCCATTTTACTGCTACAATCTGTTGAAATCCATTGATGAAGAAAGCAGATGGAACCCGTCAGTTCACCCACTAATACGGAGTTTCCGTGTCAACGAACTGATTGCTGTTTGCAATAGCGATATCCTCGCTCTTGGGTACATGCAGCTATATGCAAGATACCTAAAGGTACTTCACGATGAACAGAAATCGACGTTGCTCTTGGCATAACTTGGATGAATGTGACAGGTACCTTACTTAGCTCTTCCCCGTCAGGTGTACCGTACCTACCATATCTTAAGGTACAGGACATAAATATGCTGTGGCAGGTGCTCGTTGGGGATTGGCCAATGACGGCAGCAGGAGCCGCATTTCACATGCTTTCCCCGGACTGTGTGTAGTGTAGGAGGGTACGCCATACACTACTTACTTTTGCTCCAAATAGTTTCAGAATGACATCACCCTGCGAGCTTCGGCTTCCCGGTCGTGGGTAAGAGCGCCACCACTTCCACACCTCAAGTAGGTACGGATAGGTATCCAATTCTTCACGAGACAAATCAAACAATCAGGCACAGGCACGTTCCTAATCCGGCAATTGGCAGAAAAAGGGCGTCGTCTACGGCACCTTCAAACCCGTTCGGATTCTGCCACTTTCGACGACGCTAGGTACTCTACCCAAGGTACCTCACCACCTCACCTCTGGGAGCTCTAGTTTGTTTGGCTTGTGAGACATCATAGCTCCCATCTCCATCCTTCCCGCGGGCGACAGATAGCTCCGAGTACCTACCTAGCTCGGGCGCCCTCTCCCTCCCTTTTAACGTTTGACCTTTCCCTCCCCTTTTTGTCTTGACTCTGTGACGCTTATCTTTTCCCACCCAAAACTCGGACGCCTGTGTTCTTCCCAAACAGAGGATAACAGCACATCATCCTCCTCTTCTCATGCAAACGTTGCGAACCGAATTTCACTTGATCTTCCGTAAATACAACAATACCGGATCGGTCCGCTCAAAAGATTGAAAGACACCCTACGATTTCATAGCTCCACACGACAAAACAGCAAGACGTCTTTTCGACTCGACGCTGACACGAGCGCAAGATGGATCATCCAGGTACGCAGACGTCACCCGTACGCACAAACATCCTGGAGAAGACGGCGACACCTCGCTGCCAACACCTGCACGATCCACGGCTGTAGATCACGGCCTAGGACATCATCCCCCACGCCTGCAACCCCGCGGCCAGGGATGTGTGGATCTTGAGTCGTTGAGCCGCATTCCCTTCTTCATTTCTTCTCGGCCTCCCACATTCAGCTAGGCAAAACAAAGACGCCCTCTTACTGACAAATGTCCGGCTATAGTCAAGGAGATCAAGACCGTCATCCGGGACCTGGTTCAGGGATCCCCCGAGAAGCAGCAGAATGCACTCTACTCCAACTTCACCGAGGACGCCTCCTTCACCCACCCATTCTGCCATGTACCGTCCTTTGGCACCATCCAGATCCCGTTCCTCTTTACTATCAACTCGCGCTGGTTGGTCCTCATGATTTACCGCTGGTACCGCATCTTGAGCCCTAATATCGAAATGGAGATTGAGTCTTCCGGTATGTTCCATGCCTGGCCAGCTATCTCTCAGCAGAGAGCTGTACCGGAGAGCTTGTGTACAAAAGAGTCAAGATATGCTAACCCCCCTTACAGTCCAAGACCAAAAGACAAACCTGCTCTACGTCAAGATGCGCCAAGACTTCCGCCTGTGGTTCGTCCCCTTCTACTCGGCCCCCGTCGACTTCGTCGTCGTCCTCCGTCTAGAAACACGCACAATCGATGCCAACGGCAACCCGCTGCCCCGCGGCTACGGCGATTCCGCCTCCGTCGGCACCCGCCAGCGCCAATTCATCGTCAGCCAGGAGGATCATTACCAGGTCGGCGAGTGGCTCAAGTTCATCGCCCCGTTCTTCGGGTACTGGGCCTGGCACGCCTGGACCCTCTTTGCGACGATGCTGTGTGTTGTCGGCGCCTTCTTTGGATATCCCCTTACCTTGCTTTTCGGACAGATGGCTGGACCCAACAGTAACGGTAACGGGCAGGAGAGTAAGCGGGAGTAGGATGACGCAGTTGATGATCTGTTTATCTTTTTTTGGGGAGCTTGAGAAGAACTTAGAGCGAGTGGCCGATGAGGTGTCAGAAGAGTCTTAGTATTGACCGTACGACGGCTGGGTGAAAGGAAGACTGTGTGGCATGGTGCTGGGTTTGTAATATCAGTAAATACTTGCCGGTAAGGAATCGGATATGTTCTACAACTTACGTAGGACACTGGAACCCGAACTCTACAGCCTTGTATTTGGCTTGGATATACTCATCGTGGGTATCGTTTCGTGTAGAAACAATTTTCATCGTTGGCTAGTCCGGCTAATATCTCAAAGTGAGATCGAAGTCAGCTCCCAAGGGGCAGCTCCCATTCCTTTCTATTCCATCTGATCCCATTCGACCACAGCCCGCTCCACTGGCACCTACCTGGCACATACCTGACTCCTTCCCACCTCGTCATCCCCTCCTTCCGCCTTCCTCCCTCCTTTTTCCTCGACCTACCTACGTAAGAGACCTACTTCTCCCTCCCGCCATCAGCACAGCAGCGTCCGTCTAGGCCGGCGAGGTCAGGTCAAGCTGTGTGCGAGGTGGTCGAGTTCCTTAAAAAAAATAAAAAAAATACTCCAATGAAGTCAGAGTCCGGGCAGGGGCGTGAGTTCTAGTTGAGTTATCCTCCCCCCCTCTTCCTTTCCATTTCCTTTTTGGTTTTGTCCAAGAAGTAAGTGATTCGTGTATATTGGCACCAGATTCGACTCTTGGTCATGAGTTACTCGATACTGATGCATCAAGGATATCACAATACGATCGCCGTAAAGATGCGAGAGAAAGAAGAAAAGCGAATAGAATATCCGTATCCTCATTCGGTCCAATATGGAGATCAATAAGTAGAAGAACCGACGAGTCTCGCTGGCTCTCCTCTCTCTACACTCACGACTTCACATCTACTTTTCCCCCTCTCTTCCCTCTCGTTCGCTTTTCTGGGTATACCAAATCAGACTGCAAGCAACAGATTTTCCTTGCGCCCACGGAACCAGCCTCCCTCCCCTTCTCCGTCTCAACACGAAACCACTCTCGCCGTTCATTTTTGAGTATGTCCATCCACGCAATATACATCTGACCGCACCGAGTTTTCCGTTTTGTGTTGTATTTTGAGAAGATCTGACCCCCTTTTTGCCAATCCGGTTCATGAAGTATAAAAAATAAAAAAGGTCTTGCCTGCCATCCCTGCTTTTTCTGATCCGTTTTTCGGGCTGTGTCCGTATTTTTCGTACCGACATGGTTCGTCACATAATATAATATACTGTAAGTTATGAAGCCCGGCTGGCGTCTTCCTCTCTCACGTAGAGAGGACGCGGCGTGTCCGGCACGGAGGCGTCAACTGAGATTCCTCCCAGAGGTCGCCGGCGTCGTGACCTATACATACACACGCCAGCCCTTCCATTTTTGGCGTTTCCCAGCCGTTTTTGTGTTGTGTTGGTATCATCATTAGGGCTAGTCATGCATTTCTAGCACGGAGGCGTCATCGTGGAATAATCTCTTTCCACGAAGCCGCCGGCGTCGTGCCATTTTCTCTTTTCTCTTTCTTTCGTTTTTGGCTTGTCTCATCTTCTTCACATCCCGTTTCGCTCGTTGGCGTTGCCGTTCGGACCCTGCTGCTGATCCGGGGACTGTTGTTGCTGTTGCTGTTGCTGCGCCTGTGACTGCTGCTGTCCTCCAAAGAAGAAGCCGTCGAAGATGTTCATCTGCTGCCCTTCACTGAAGTCGTGGTGCATGTTGTCCCAGTTGATGCCGAATCCCAGGTCAAGTTGCGGCGTCGTCACGTCCCCGGACCCACCGAGCTCGCCATTGGGGTTACCACCCTGCAAGCTCTGGAAGAAATCCATGGTCTGGATGTCTGGGTAGTCGGCCACGCCATACGATGACGACCCTTGCTGCTGCTGCTGTTGATTCAAAAAGGATCCGCCGCTACTGGTTCGCTGAGTCGCCACACGACGAGGCATTGGCGGCGAGGCCACGAAAGAAGGGTCAATTTCCGAAGGGCTGCCCTGGCTGGGGGCCATCATATTGAAGTCCGTTGCGCGCGGGGAATGGCGTGGTGGGAGATCGCCGGCGACAGAGAGGCTTGGCGACGAGAGGGTATCGGACAGCGTCATATCCATCTGAAAGTTGCCCTGCCCCGACGACTGGTGCTGCTGGTGGCGTCGGCGGGGTGCGACGCTCGCAGTCGATGTCGATGCCCCGTCGCCCGAGGCGGAACTCCACTCGAATTGTCTCTCGCGCATCTTGCGCGGGGGCACCGAGTTGAAGCCGCCAGTCGAGTTGGCCATCTTGATGGTAGCCTTTGCAGTGCGATCAAAGGCGTCGCGACACGTCTCAGCCGGTGGGCACTTGTCGATCAGGTCAGTGAAGACAGACTTGGCGGCCAGGATAGTGAAGTCCACTTCGTCCATTGTCTGTGTTATTGCACGTTAGAGCTATTTCAATTGATCTCAAAACCAAAGAAGTTGACTCACCAATCGACTTCTGACAATAGGCGAGTGCCAGATGGCGTAGAGGTAGGATATGCCAGCCATGAAAAGATGATGAGTTGACAGGTACGTATAGCTGACCAGCCCGCTCAAGTGCAGCTGGCGGTAGATACGCAGAATCTTTTGCCCGGCCTCGGCGACCTTAAGATAGATCCTGTCCTCGTCCTCCCGTAGCTCCGCCTGGAACGCTGTCGGACTATTCACCTCGGTGGAGGTGTTATACTCGCCCTCGAACATGGCAGGCACGCTTAGGCTCTGGCGGTAGAGCATGATGATGGCCTGCCAGTAGTTGAGCTCCAGGAACTCGGTCGAAAACGCCACGCCTGTCTCCTCCCGCGTCGGCGCTGAGTTCTTCCACTGGTACAGCCTACGGTCGATATCGATGCGCCACGAGCGGAAGGAGTCGAACTTGACGAGAAACGGTGACGGTAGATGGGTATGCATGTCCGAGTTGGTCAAATTCTGGCCCGAGGCTCGCACGACCTGTGTCTGGTTATATTGCAGGACTTGAAGGATCTCAGATTGCAACAATCGCAGCTTGAAGTAGTGGTAAGCTACGTGCTTGTAGCTCGGCTCGGATGAGTCGGCGGGCATCTCCAAGAATCCAGTCGATGCGATGTATTGATCATCCAAGAGCGAAGGGAACTCAGTCGTGATGACCTGATCGCTGATGCCGAACGGTCGTCCGACGCAAGTGCTCACCAGTCGATCCAAGGAGTAGGTGCACCACCAAAGCCTCCGCCTCATGTCGCGGATGTACAGTCGTCGGCCCCTCTCGCGTGACTGGGCGTTCCTCGCTTCGTTGACTTCGCCGTTCTCATCCTTGACTAGATCTCGCATTGCCGGCTCTACATCGCTTCCATCTTCGTAGTGCAGGCCCAGATCCACAGCCAAGCGCACAGCAACGCCAATAATGTACCTATAAACTTGTCAGCAACACGTCTCATAATACGCTCGGCTTATCATGAATGCAACTCACCATAGACCGGGGGGGACGGGTCGGAGGAGCGCAAAGTTAGCCAACAGCAGCACAGCTTGCAACACCTCCAACCCACCGCCGCTGTTGCCAAGACAAGCCTCGAGATGCACGATGGCGCTCGCATGGTACTCCTCTGGCTGTGCCTGGCCAAATTTGTTCGCATCCGCTGGATTGCGCGGTCCGGCACCCGAGCCCTCGGATTTCACAGGCTCGCCCACAATTACACCACATCCGATTGCAAAGACCATGTTCAGCATGTACAGCTCCCGAGCTCCCTTTGGCCCACTCGGATCAGCGTATGCCTGGTCGAACATTTGCATAAACTCCCCTCGGTGCAGAATTGGGATCTGAGGATTGGCGTGCTCAAAGTAGAGGGTCACAAGCCTCATCCCCACGTCTTTGTCAGGGAAGTTTGCTGGCCGGATGGTGGGTTTCGTGTGCAAACCGAAGAAGGAGTCGCGCATAGATGTCCCGCTGCCGATCGGTAAGCCCTTGCCACCAATTCGATCCTGCGTTCCGTTGTGGTCCGACACAGAGTATTGCACAGCGGCAAATACCACGCGGTTGAAGGAGACCCCTGAAGCCGAGGCCAGTGATCGTGGTTTCGAAGGGCTGACAATATCAAGCATTCCCGTACCCCCGGTCCCTGCCTTTTTGGCCTTCTCCAAGTCGGAGCGGTGTATGCTGTTCTTTGCTGGTCCAGGCCCATCATTGCTCTCGGAACGCGCCGGAGGGGCAACCTCAGTCGTCGATCTCGCGATCTCGGCACCGGGACGTGAGCAGAGCTCCAGGTTTTCGGCTGGTGGAAAGGGTATGTTTTGGTTGGCGAGCAGCGCCTCTAGCTGCTCGACGCGGGTTTCTAGGTAGAATACGTAGCTTTACGAGTCGCATTGTTAGCACTCAGTCAACAATCAAGGCGATAAAGCCTACTGCGCACACATGCGCGCGCACTAAGCAACGCCAGGCACGGATACGCTACACTGATAAGTAGTCCATACCTTCTGGGAATTTCCTTCTTCGTGATGGGGTCATAGCCCACGCACGCGACGCCAGCCTTTGCGCAGCTCGCACAACTGGGCAGCTTCTGGTCGCATCTGTTCTTCCGTAGACGACAGCGGTTACAGGCGCTCACGTTGCGGAAGTTGCTGCTCTGGCCTGCTTTCCCTCCTCCGCCTCCTCCATTCTTCTCAGCTGAAGTCAGAGCCGCACCGGCATTGGCCATCGGATCGTTCTGTTCGACTGCGGAGGGGCTCTGGTCGATGCCAGCGGAGGGGGGCGGGGAGACGTCGACATCGTAGGAGCCTTGGCGCGGGCGCTTCGTCGGCTTGAGGGTGGGCGATGGTGGTGAATGAGCCGGCATTGCGAAGGTCGAGGTGAAGGCCTCTAGATCGGACGGTACCAGGCGGCTTTCGGAGAGGAGAGACGGGGCGGGGAAGGTTGGGACGAGGATAGAGTCGGGATTGAGTTCCGGAGGCGCGGCTACCGGCCAGTCGGGGTGAGTCGGAGGCGGGTTGCAGAGCCGACTCTAGACGAGGTAGAGTAAAAGGAACGGGTCGTCCTGTAGACTTCAAGGTGAGCGCAGGTCCCTCGGCCAGGACTGGCGAAAGGTGCGGTTGCGAGAGGGAGTAGAAAGAGGGGAGAGTGAAGGGGGGAAAGGCTGGACGTCGGTGAGGCATACAAAAGTATTGGAAACAGGCTGTTATCGCGACGCTATCTTGACTTGCACAGTGACAGCTCCACACATCATTCGGCAGTGGGCACAGACAGTTAGAAGAAGGGACCTCTTGTCTCGTCTACCTAACCCCAGTGGACTAAGGCGGCGCTAGAGGCAAGGGTCGGTTCTAGGCCGGACAGACGAAGACGATGAGGGGGGTTTTCTCTGCAACGGAGTGGCGGCGGGCCTGGGAAAGGCAAAGGCGATCGGGACTGTGAAGGTTACGAAGTATGTACAGATTGGTAGGCGAGACCCTTCAGCTGGGATCGCTCTGGATGTTGGAAATCTGACCGAGATTCAGGTCAGGACTGCGCATGTCGAGTCGGTCAGAGGACAGGCGGAGAGCGGACGGCGGAAGATGGCGGCGGCGGCGGGATGGTGCAGACAAGCGAGAGGGAGGAATAGATAGGCCCAGTAGCTTGTTTAGAGGATGGGAAAAGAGACAAAGTGATTTCAACGGTGGTGGGAATTCCCGCACAAGACAAAGGTCAAGCTACCTTACCTCGACGACTCGAACTGGGGTGCGGGATATGGGCTGCGGTAGGTGCACCGTGAAGAAAGAGGCGGGCGGGCTAACTGGGACGTTGTGGAGAGGCGGTCGGTGAAATGACAGGCAGAGCACCCCAAACTGCAGTAAGGTGAGGTGAGGTAAACGGGATGGATAGGCGGGCGCAGGCAGCTTGATGGACGGGACGCGCTAATCGGAAGGGACCAATCTGCAGCCGGCGATATTGGTTTTCGTTGACCTAAGCACCTTTTTTTTTTTCCCCCTCCTGCCTTCCTTCAGCTGATAAGGAAAGGCAAGAAGGAGGGTCAATAGTACCTTACTCGGCCGGTTAGTTTGCGGTGCGCCTGGCACGGAAAGTGGAGGTCTCTGGAGACAGCTGGGGAGTTGAAGGAGTCAAGCCACAGGTGAGAAGTGACTGCGCAACTTACAACATTCCTCTTCCTCTTCTTCTTCATCATCAACCAACTACATCTACCCTTCAGCATGACGGGCCGAACATATAGCTTGATAAGTAATCAACCATATGACACTGGCCACGATCAACAACCAAATCTCTTACGGTAATCTTCATCTCTCCGTCCCCCCACTCTCCCCCCAAGCCACCAAGAACCCCCAAACGAGAACGAGCGAACAAGACAGCGTACGGTGCCTTACTAAGGAATGCGATTCCTCCCCGACTGTGAATCTCTCTGTACGAGTATGCAGACTGCCCGACTGTCTGCCCCTCCCCCCCCCCGCACGACGACATACACCAACTACACCAATCATCGAGATCCTGGCCGGCAATGCCCCGTTTGGGAATTCCATCCCGCGCTGCCGCATCGGCCTGAGCCTTTTGGCGCGCCCTCGCTTGGCCATGATGGCCGCCGGGTATCAGTTGACCATACCCTTGGAAACCGAGCTAAAAAAGCCAATTGCTTTGCTCTCATTTGAAACTTGGCATTGGTTCACTTTTTACGAGGGCCAATTCACCCTCTTACACACCTGTGTGCGTGTGTGCTTGTTTATCAGAACCAGAACCAGAACCAGAAGCCCTCCTTATCTATCCGTCGAATCCGGGACCGTTTACGATTGAGGGAGGGCGCCACACCATTAGAAGTTGCCTTCTTCCTCCGTAGTTACCGGCCGCCACCTCTGACTCTCTGCTAACTTCATCGCTGAATCGTCGTCTCCTTCCCTCCTCCCTTTACAATGTCGTGGTGTTGTGACGTCGTTAGTATCACTACCCGTACCACCTTACTAATCGAGTTTGAAGCCGCCGCCCACTTCACGATGTGCTCAAGATGTTATTCGAGAGACGCAATCGCCATCCGTCGTTTTGAATTAACCAGACTACAATCTCGCCAAACGAAACCCTCGACGTTGTCGTCTACCGTTCACTCGCCCCCAATAGCAATACCGAGGTCCCCTCGGTTCCGAAAGGCTACCGTATCTCACGTACCCACCCACTCCCCAGCGCCAAACGGTCCACCACAGGCTTAGTTCCCCTTTGCTAACGGACGGGGATTCTCCAACCCATCACAAGTCACAACCCGTTCGCCGTTATCGATTACTGTAATCTTGATCCCTCTCTCTGTCACGAGATCCAATATTCAATACCACTGTTGGCAGCGTCCAATGAGCGATGCCAACACTAACGACCAACACGCATGTGAAAACCCCCCCAGAAGTATTTGATTCAACTATCTTACAATCTCACTCACGATGACGGCTTCACAATCAGGCTTCATGAAAATGGAAACATAATGGTGTTCAAGGCATTCATCCGCCCAACACCCATCTCTGGTTCCGATTTCTTTTCTTTCAAGTCCCCTTTCTTCTAGTCCCCTTTCCTCTTACCATCCCGCTGCCACCCCACAAACCCGTTGGGGAGCATCGTACCAAACTGCCTCATCTTTCGGATGAACCAAGGCCGGAAACTTATAGACAGTAGTATATACCTAGGGTAAGTTATACTAAGGGTAGGCCATACCTAGGGTAAGGTAGGTAGTTTTGTATCATGAGACCGGGATGGCATCCGGGGAACCGCGTCACTTGAACCCTGCGAAATGCATTCGAGACCTAATCTTACCCCGGGTTTTTTCTTCAAAAGACAAAAAAATTTAAAAATTAAAAGAGTGATTACTTGCTTCACACCCCGCGCATTGTCTCACACCCGCAACACGCTCAATCCATGCACAGCATGTACGTCACCAATGTTTCGCTTGGCGCTGAATAGAAACCACCCGAGAAGAAGACACCACGGCCTTCAAACTCACTCATGAGGCATCTCTGAAGCATATCGGGGTAGATTGGTTTTTTGAAGCTTGTGAGTCATGGCTAGGTTTGTGGATTGTCACGGTTATCATCACAGTTATAATGTCGTTTGTAATCAATGGTTTACCAAAGGGGTCAAGTTGAAAATGGTTGTAAAGTAAGGGTGTTCCTCCCATCAATTCTCTAAGAAATAAGCCATCATTAAAAACATCAAAGGGTAATCAGACCTTTGCAAGTCTTCACAGGCCCCCATAGAACAAATCGAGTTTCCCGCCAGAGGAGAAAAAAAATGCCCTTCCTTGCCAAAATTCCTTCCCGCTCCTCCGCTCTCTTTCCTCGGGTTGGTTTGACACGTCCGGTCCTCTGTGGTATTCCCCAAATAAATGCCATTCGCTTTTTCTCTTGTTGCACACTTTGCGGTTTCCCGGTCTTCCGGCCCATATCTCTCTCTCTCTCTCGCTTCCTGCTCTCTTTCCAGTGTCGGTTGTTCCCTTGGGCTTCCATGGTATCTCCAACTCCTTGTCCAATAAAATAATCCATATACAAAAACAGATAGATGGTCGGGGATCGTCGCCTGACCCGATACATGATGTGATGTTGAGCGCCCCCCCTAAGGTTTGATAAAAAGTCGAAACGAACAAGAACTGAAATCCAGTCATGCAGCCCGCTGATGGAAATGGTCGGAATAAAACAAGTAACAAGTCGTGAGAATTCCGTATGTGCTCTCTCCTCGGCCCGTCCGAATTAAATCGTGTGATGTTGATAACTCTTTTCTCTGATTCCTTCCGTCGTGTCCCGTGAGCGATAGTCTATGTCTTGTTGTGGTCCCTTCCTGTCGATGATAATAACGCCGTAGGATGAAAACTCCGATTGTTGAATGATGATAAAATAAAGTAAAATAGTGCAAATCCCATGGCGCCTTTCCGGGGTATCGAGATTGGGGGGGGATAAGGTAGTCAACGTATGTGATCATGGTTGTGATCACGATCTCCGGCTGGGGCCAGCCTCAGCCTCGTGTTCGTCGTCGTCCATGGGGACTAGCAGACCCTCAATCTCAGTGGGCTCTACTGCCGTTTCGATGTCTCTGACAGGCTCGTCCAAGCGTCCACGAGGCTCGGTGAGATGCATGCTGAGAAAGGCGCCGAAGATGGTAATAGCACCACTGGTCCACCAAGCAAGTCCAGAGTAGCCGGTTCGAATACCAAGAGTATAAAGGAAACCCGAAATGGTTGGTCCGAATGCTCTGCACAAGCTCGCTGTCGAGGCGGCAACGCCGTTGATAGTTCCAAGGGACATGAGGCTCGGTGCCGAGTTTGTGAGCAAAATCGCATTGCTGGGGTACGCCATGGTCGAGAAAGTGCACTTCCAGATAACCATGATGTAGATGCCGACAATTCGCAGGTTCTCAGGCAACAGGGCCAGGTAAGGTGTCGTCAGATAGAGCATAAAGTACGAAATCGCCAAGAGTCTGAACAGCCGGAGGGGACCAAGGCGTCTGGTAACCCATGGGAAGATGAAGACAGTCGAGATCATGGAGTAAACACCCTGAACCGCGAGAATGATACCAATGGACTTGGTCTCCATAGAAAAGCCGCCGGCGAACTTGAATGGGAGGTGAGTATCCGGGTTCTCGCGAGGCGTGGTGCTAAGGAAGACGGGGAACAATTGATCAAAGGTCATGGTGTGGCTAGTAAGAGAGTTAGCATGCTAATGCGGGTCTCAAAGTGAAGGTGGACGACTTACAAGGCCAAGATACCGTAGGAAATGATGTTCAAAATGACTGGTCTGGTGAAGATCACTTTGGGTGGCTCAGCAATTTCCTCAATGATTGATGCCTCTGTGAGGTCCAAAGTCTCGGTCGGCTCGGGGATAGTAGACTCAG